TTACTGAACATAGGTTCCAATTATTGCTGTTCTTTTTGTTCCTAAGGTATATCCCTCTAGGGATGGCCTTTGCATTGCACCGCTGAGTCTTTTGAAGTCATTTCTCTCTGTAATTTTGCCACAGCTCAATACTCCATTAGGTTCGTTTGCTTCATTGTAGTTTTGATTTTTAGGGATTGATTTTTTTAATTTAATTTTGTTCTATAATTACCTTGAATATTTACATAATAAAGTCAAATCTACAAAGCAAATACAGAGAAAATCAGCTTCAATCCTTGTCCCCTCACTCCCCCATAGGTCTGATTGCTTTCTGATTGTTTGATTTGATTTGTTTCTTCTATTTTTTAAATATAAGCAAGTACAGGCCAACCATGGTGGTTCATGCCTGTAATTCCAGCACTTTGGGAGGCCGAGGCAGGCAGATCCTTTGAGTTCAAGACCAGCATGGCCAACATGGTGAAATCCCATCTCTAAAAACACACACACAAAAAAAAAAAATCAGCTGGGCATGAGGCAGGTGCCTGTAGTCCCAGCTACTCAGGAGTCTCAGGTAGGAGAATCATTTGAACTGGGAAGACGGAGGTTGCAGTGAGCCAAGATCGTGCCCCTGCACTCCAGCCTGGGCAACAGAGTGAGACTCCTTCTAAAAAACAAACAAAACAAAGGTAGTAGGCCCTTCCTAGCCACGGAATCCACACCTGTGGATTCAGTCAATCTCATACTGGATCTAAAAATATTAAGAAAAATATTGCATCTGCTGTAAACACATACAGACTTTTTGTCATTATCCCCCCAAACAATACAGTATAGCAGTTGCATTGTGTTAGGTATTAAAATAATCTAAAGGTGACTTAAAGTATCTGGGAGGAGGTGTACAGGTTACATGCAAACACTACATCATTTTATATCAGGGACTTGAGCAGCTGTGGGTTTTGGTATCTGCAGGGGTCCTGGGGCCAATTCTACATGAATGCCAAGGATTTTCTGGACATGCATACATAAGTGTGTGTGCCCGCCTTCTCAGATAAGTGACATTGTACTTTCCACATTCTCCATCTTGATACATACATATATGTTTGTGTGTGTGTGTGTGTGTGTGTGTGTGACACAGAGTTTCGCTCTTTTGCTCAGGCTGGAGTTCAGCGGCGTGATCTCAGCTCACTGCAACCTCTGCCTTCCCATTTCAAGTGATTCTCTTGCCTCAGCCTCCGGAGTAGCTGGGATTACAGGCACCTGCTACCACGCCTGGCTAATTTTTGTATTTTTAGTAGAGACAGGGTCTCACCATGTTAACCAAGCTGGTCTTGAACTCCTGACCTCATTATCTGCCCACCTTGGCCTCCCAAAGTGCTGGGATTACAGGCGTGAGACATCACACACAGCCTCTTTTTTTATTTTTACAATATGACTTTGGACTAGATTCCTGGAAATGAGATTGTTGAGTCAAAGGGAAAATGTGTGAATAATTTTGCTACTATTGCCAAATACCCCTCATTCAACTTATTGTTCAGTCTTTTAATTTTTAAATGGAAAATATATGATTCAAAAAACAAAAAAAAGTCAAAAACAGTAAACATATAGCAGAAGACCTCCATCCCACCGCAGTCTCCCACCTGCCTAGATCTACTCTGCCCAACCCAAAAACTATCCTCACTGTAAGCGACCACTATTGTTGGTTTCTCACATTTCCTTTCAAGTTGTTTTCTGGGAATCTGTGTATGTGGAAAGAGATAGAAGGAGAGAGACAGAGAGAGAGGATTTCTCTGACTTTTTATTTTGAGACAGAGTCGCCCAGGCGAGAATGCAGTGATGCCATCTTGCCTCACTGCAACCTCTGCCTCCTGGGTTCAAGCAATTCTCCTGCCTCAGCCTCCCAAGTAGCTGGGATTACAGGCGAGTGCCACGATACCCGGCTAGTTTTTGTATTATTAGTAGAGAAACATGGTCAACATGTTTCACCATGTTGACCAGGCTGGTCTCCAACTCCTGACCTCAGGTGATCCGCCTGCCTTGGCCTCCCAAAGTCCTGGGCTTATAGGCGTGAGCAACGGCACCCAGCCTGACTTTTATTTTTTAACTTTAGTAGCTAGATGCCATATACACCATCCTACACTCTCAACCCTGTAGAGTACTGCCTCCACCAGGGACAGGAGACATTTCACCTGCTCCTCCCTGCAACCCAGCAAGCCAGCTGTTTCTATCCCCTAGAATAGCCTGAGACTCAGAGTGCTCAAGTGACTTTCCCTGAGTCACACAGTAAGTGACAGAGCTGGGTTCAGTTTCAAGTGTGCCCTCCCCCAACACTCCATTAGCAGCACTGCTGTTCAGTTACAGGGCTTGACTCCCTGGGCCTCTGCTCTCTAAGGGGGAATTGCATGTCCCAGGAACCCAGGTCCAATGCTCACTCCCCAGAATGCACCCAAGCCTGCTCAGGGGAGCCCCGTCTGCTTAGAATCTGAGACTAAGGACCTAGTAGGGTAAATCAACACTAAAACTGACTCACAAGGAGAAGGCCCAGAGACGTCATAGAGAAGCACTCACCTCAGCAACTGTGTATACTTTTGAGAAGCAGAGGTCATCAGGAAAGGACTCAGGGTCCACAGATTGAGCCAGCTCCTAGTAAGTCCATGTGCAAGCTCCTTCACCTTCCTGAACCTCAGTGTCCTTTTCTGTAAGAGCATAGGACAGTGATTTCCATCTACTCCTCATTGTGATGATTAAATAAGGCCAGGCACATGGGGGTAGTGCAGCAGGTGGAAGCCCTGTTGCGTGTTGGGCTGAGCACCAAAGCTGCATCCCACAACTTCCCTTTAGGGCAATGAAGAATGCAAAAGCAATTTTACTCTCTCTCCCAGGCCCTGATGGGGGGAAGCCTCCTATCCCTAAGCCTCCTCCTCTTCACATGCAGCAGGAGAAGTACAAGCAGCTCACATCCCAGGGTAAATATTTTGAAACAGCCACAGGAAGCCGTGGCCCTGCTGCCATCTTGGATTTAGGCATCAAGCTTTAGGATGCTGAAGTCAACAGCGTGACTCCACAAACCACACTTCCATGACCCTATGCACTTGTGCACGTCCTCTGGGTCGTTTTTGCGGGAAAGGCCGGGTGATACTGTTTTAAGGCACCCTTTTTCCTTTATTTGTTTTAAATGGTAGGGAGAATAATTGGCCTAAGCCCAATAAAATATTTACCCAGATCTTATACTTGCTGGGGAACACACCGCACAATTAATTCTAACAGCATAATTAATTTGAATTTACATTAATTAAATTAAATTAAAACATTAAACTTGTTTCTTAATCTACTCCAAAGAAGTTCGGCAACATAATTGCTATGAAACAAGATAATCGAAATACGGAGGATATTTAACATACTTATTAAATGCCACTTAGTATTTCTGTTTAGTATTTTGAGGGTCTAATTAGTGTCTAATTAACTTGCTATAGGCTATCTTTTCACAATACCAATTAAATTTCAAAACATCCTTTATAAATACATGGCCATGAAAAGGAGAAGATTAAGCATTGTTATAGGCGTGAGTTAATCGGGAGACATTGGCGTGGCGTTGTTTTATATCTATAAATACCCGCTCTTATTAAAACTCATCAAGTGTTGCTTTTCCCCATTAATTGCTATTTAATCAACTTCAAATAAATGAGGAAATCTCTGAAACCAGCTGTCATTATTGGAGACAGATGAAGGGCCCAGAAACAGAAGCGTGAGGTGAGAGCAGGCAGGGAGATAAGCAGGAGGGGCGGGGGCCGGGTGCAGTCTGCAGAGTGGGGATTAGCGAGAACTTGAGGGATTTTCAGATAGGACTTTCTTGCTGATTCCCCCCCTCCACCGTCTACTCAATATTTAAGATGGAAATCCCAACTTAGAAGGAGTGTAAGAGGACAATAATTACCCACAAACTGAACTTCCCAGCTCTGTAGGAAGGAACCCTTGGAGAACTCCAATGAGGAAGCTGCCCCAGCTCACATGGGGCAAGATGTAGGAGCTCAGGGCTTGGAATCCCAGAACCAGCTTCCTCTTACCTGTGTGAGTCTCTTTGAGCCTCAGTTTCATCATCTGTAAAATACAGGTTTGGGCTGGGCACAGTGGCTCACACCTGTACTCCCAGCACTTTGGGAGGCCAAGGCGGACAGATCACTTGAGACCAGCCTTGCCAACATGGTGAACCTCCATCTATACTAAAAATACAAAAATCAGCCGGGCGTGGTGATGCACGTCTGTAATCCCATCTACTCCAGAGGCTGAGATGGAGAATCACTTGAACAGAGGTTGCAGTGAGCCTAGTCCCACTGTACTCCAGCCTGGGCAAAAAAGTGAGATTCTGTCTCAAAAAAAATTAATAATAAAATAAAATACAGGGCTGGGCTGGGCACAGTGGCTTACACCTATAATCCCAGTACTTTGGGAGGCTGAGGTGAAAGGATTGCTTGAGCCGAGGAGGTCGAGGCTGCAGTGAGCTGTGCTCATACCTCTGTACTCCAGCCTGGACAGCATAGTAAGACCCCATCTCAAAGGAATACAGAGCCAGTTTCATGAGTATGCCACCTGTGCAGTCACACAGGGCCCACGTTTAGAAGGACCCCACAGTTAGTTAAATGCTGTGCTGCTGTCATCTTAAAATTCTTAGTCATTTTTGAACAAGGGGCAAAATTTTCATTTTACACTGAGCCTGCAAATTATGCAGCTGTTCCTGGTGAAATGCCTCCCTCCTGGGTCTCTGTGAGAATTGAGTGACAGGCGGCTCCTGGGAAGCACCCAGCATAGTGCTTTGCATGAAGTCAGTGGCTCAAGAAGTGAAGAAGTGCCCCAAAGTGAACCCTAATATCCCGCGGTTCCCTGCACTGCCTGTCCCTTCCCTCAGAGCAGGCACTACAGGGACGTGGGTCCCCGGCCACCATCTGTTGACTGGCCCAGCCTGTGGGAGAGAGCTTGGCCTCCTCTGGAGCCTTCCTGATGCCCTGTCTGACTTGCTGGCCTCTCTGCAGCTGATTGCCTGGGAGCCGGAGCAGGAAGAGGAGGTTACCATGGTGACCGCCCGGCCTAACTTTCAAGACAGCGTCCATGTGGGCTTCGTGTCTGGCTTGAAGAAGTTCACCGAGTACTTCACCTCGGTGCTGTGTTTCACCACCCCTGGAGACGGGCCACGCAGCACCCCGCAGCTGGTGCGCACCCATGAGGATGGTAGGCACCCCCTAGCCCTACTCTCTCTGCCCCACCCAAGGCCAGGCTGGGTACCCCAGGCAGAAGGGAGGCCCAGTTTTGTCTCCCAGGCTGGGGCACCCCCAGATCACCACAGCCTGTCTCACAGATGGCGGCCTCTCTCTGGCTCTAACAGGCCTTGGGGGGTGGGGGTTCCTTTTGGGGTGCAGTGCCTGGCCCTGTCGGACACCTGAGCTTCAGTGATATCCTGGACACATCGCTGAAAGTCAGCTGGCAAGAGCCGGGAGAGAAAAATGGCATCCTCACAGGTAGGCACCACAGCGTTTCTGAATCAGAGGGCAGGACAGGGCTGGAAGGCCAGAGCTGGTCCATCCCCTGCCTTCCAGCTACTTTTCACCCAAGTCCTTGAAGCTAACCCACTGTTTCTTAGAAACCACTCACAGGAGGCCCTCGGTACCTCCACTTCATTACACATCCCAAAGTCTCCAGCCCCACACCTTCAGCCACAGATCTCAATGACTGCCATGATGACTCCCTGTGTGTCCCCTGCAATTCCCTGAAGTGGTGGCATCCCACTGAGGCTACACCTGAGACCCAGGGCAGGATGCCAGCAGCTCCCACCTTCCTTGGCCCCATTGCTCCTAGTGTGGATGTAATTGCCAGCCTAGTAGAGAAGTGAGAAGTGGAGTAGAGGGTCAGGCCAGCTCATGGCCACAGCCAAGCTCATGCCAACATGGGGGCTCTCCCCAGGGTACCGGATCTCCTGGGAGGAGTATAACCGAACCAACACCCGTGTGACCCACTACCTACCCAACGTGACCCTGGAGTACCGCGTCACGGGCCTCACCGCACTCACCACCTACACCATTGAGGTGGCCGCCATGACCTCAAAGGGGCAGGGCCAGGTGTCGGCCTCCACCATCTCCTCTGGGGTGCCCCCAGGTAAGTGCCCACTCTCAGGGCAGGACTCATGGAGTTCTCCTGAGCAGCATCCCATTCAAGAGGTCCCTTATCAGCCAAGCGTGCTTGCTCATGCCTGTAATCCCAGCACCTTGGGAGGCCAAGGCAGGCAGATCACCTCAGGTCAGGAGTTCCAGACCAGCCTGGCCAACATGGTGAGACCCCATCTCTACTGAAAATACAAAAATTAGCCAGGTGTGGTGGTGCATGCTTGTAATCTCAGCCACTTGGGAGGCTGAGGCTGGAGGATCACTTGAACCCAGGAGGTGGAGGTTGCAGTGAGCCGAGATCACACCACTGCACTCCAGCCTGAGTGACAAAATTAGATCCTGTATTAAAAAAAGAAGTGGGGGAGGCCTTGTCTTTCAGGAATACCAGCGTTCTTTCCATGGACTCTCCCGTTTCCTTGTGCTGTGTGGGTATGGATCCTCTCAGAGCAGGCCGAATTCCTGGGATCCCAGGCCTGTGGACAGGGGCTCCCCTGGGCCCCTGCTGCTTCCTCCCACAGCTCTCAGAAAAGCAGAGGCCCTCTGCCTTGTTGCATTTCCCCACCAGTCTCTCCCATCACCCATTTCTCGCCAGATTCCACACCAGGCAATGGTATCTGTGATTCAGGGGAAGAATTCCCACTGTCACCCAGAGTCTACCTTGGATTCCAGCATGTGGAAGGGTTGGTTGGGAGGTGGCAGAGCACAGTGGGAATACTCCTAGGCCTGGTGCAGAGAGCAAGCTGAGCTCCACTCTCAGCTCTGCTTCTGCCAAGCTCTGCAACCTTGAGCAAGTTACATGTCCCCTCTGTGCCTGTTTCCCCATCTGTATATATGGAAAGTTGGACCAGATTAACCATGTGGTCCCATCCAGATCAGTCAGGCAGTGCTTGTGTGACCTGCCAGCATCCCTCCACCTGCTGCTTAGATGGCTGGGCCACCTGAGCCTTGGCCAACCCCCAGTGATGATTACAGACAGCTATGCTGGCAAATACATATGTAGTGCTCACGGGGGATGGAGCTAGGAGCTTTGTACACGTCAACTCATTTTATCCACACAGCAACCCTGAGGGAGGTGTTGTTATTATTATCTTCAATACCAAGGAGAACATGGAGGCACAGAGAGGTGGATAACTTGTGCAAAGACACACAACTTACATTTAAGTAGTGGAGTTAGATTTAAACTCATTCTGACTCCCAGAATCTGTGCTCTTTCTGTTCCTGAGCTCTAAGAGCCTCAGGGTTCCTGGCCAGAAAATAAGCTTCCTCCTGTCCCGACCCAACCTTCCCGCCTTCCTGAGCTGTAATTAGGTATAGGAGGTGTGCAGGAGTCTGTGCGGATGGAGGGGAGGATTGGTCCCGTTTGGTTTCTTTCTCAGCCCAGCTTGGTTTTAATGCAGCTTTCAGCTTCATTATGAGTACCTCACTCATATCCAGAAGTGCCAGGAAGGAGCCATCCCAACCCCTGTTTCCTGGCCCAAGATCCTCCTCTCAGCCCTGAGAGCTTCCCCTTGGCCCCCAAATCTGTCCTTGTGACCTTGGTCACATTGGGGTCACCACCTGAGACGTTACTCACCACCACAGTGATACAAGCAGGCTAGGGATAGCTGCTGGTTGCTTTCAGAGGGCAAAATGCAGCCAATTGACCCAGACCCTCTGTCCGCTTTTGTTCCTAAGAGGTTCTGAGGTAGCATACTGTGGATAATTAACATGGTTAAGAGACTGGTTATACAAATGATAAAAGCTTTAGGTTCCAGGCCCAGAGTAAACACTATTAACAGGTAATTCCCCTTTGATCTCCCCCTGAGAGGACCATCCAGCACAAAGTTTACATGAGTAAACAGAGTAGAAACAAAGGGATATGGGGTAAACAGACTTAAACTGGGAAAAGCCTCTTCCCTATCTTCCTAAATGAACCGGCCGGCTGCATTCAGCCTGCCTGGTAAAACCCTTTCGCCTCCCAAAAGGTTTGAGACTAATCTATGACTTTTCCCAATATATCTTTAATATTTTGCCAGCCACGCCGAGTAAATATCAACACCTCCTGGCAGGAAAATGGTCCTCCATAAGACACAGGAATAAAGACTGCAGGTGGAGGGAGGCCATGGCTGTGCTTCTCGGACGTTTCCAGGAAAAGTGTGACACACAGCCCCCTCCATGCCCAAAAGCCTCATTCAACATGGAGGGCCATTCTCACCAGATCTTCTTCCCCACCCTGTTCTCCTTTTCCAGAACTCCCAGGGCCCCCCACCAACCTGGGCATCTCCAACATCGGTCCCCGATCTGTGACCTTGCAGTTCAGACCAGGCTATGATGGGAAAACCTCCATCTCCCGCTGGCTGGTGGAAGCCCAGGTAGGGCGGCGCTGGGGCCTGGGCAGCAGCACCCGGCCAGGGCACCCCGTGCTCTTGAGTGCAACATCTTATGTGTATTCCAGTCTGTGTGAATATTCATGTGCAACTATCAATGGCCCATTATACCCCAAATGCTCACACTTCCCAATATTGTCTCCAATCCCCTGCCCCTCACCTGTGTACATAAAACATACACACACACTACAGTCCCCTCCTGGATCTGGGGTCCCTAGAAAAATACCTAGTTTCTGGAATATAAAAACATCAAGGGCCAGGTGCGGTGGCTCATGCCTGTAATCCCAGCACTTTGAGAGGCCAAGGTGGGCAGATCACAAGGTCAGGAATTTGAGACCAGCCTGACCAACATGGAGAAACCCCATCTCTACTAATAATACAAAAATTAGCCAGGTGTGATGGTGCGTGCCTGTAATCCCAGCTACTCGAGGCTGAGGCAGGAGAATCACTTGAACCTGGGAGGTAGAGGTTGCAGTGAGCCAAGGTCACACCACTGCACTCCAGCCTGGGCAACAGAGCAAGACTTCATCTCATAAATAAATAAAATTATTTATATAAATCATCAGCCTTGGCTGCACCCTGGAATCATCAGGGGAGCATTCAGAAGTGCAACACCTACATCCCACCCCAGAAACTCTGATTCCGATGTAGCTGGTTTGAGGGGCAGCCTGGGTTTCTGGAAGTACCCCAGGTATTTAGGAGATTCCTGGGCAGCATCCCAGGGATTCTGACGGGCCTGGGAATATGTTGATCACAAGCGTCCTGAGAGATGCTAGGGCAGGAAGGCTGAGTCACACTTGCAGCCATGTGTAGAGGCCTGGAAAGACGCTAGCCCCATTTGGTGCCCTCCAGATGAGCCCTGGGATCTGAACCAAGTCCTTCCCCGGCAGGGGTTATACCCCCTAGGAGGTGGGGCTCAGAGCACCCTGTGGGCCTAAGGTCCTGCCCTTTTCCAGGTAGGTGTGGTCGGGGAGGGAGAGGAGTGGCTGCTGATTCACCAGCTCTCCAACGAGCCTGATGCCCGATCCATGGAGGTGCCTGACCTCAACCCCTTCACCTACTACAGGTAACGAGACTGGGCCAGGGAGGGGACAGCGGCCCCAGGGCTGGAGGTGGGTGGGGGCCGCAGGCCAGACTGGGACAGGGTTGGGAGCTAGGGTCCTGCCTTTACCGTCTTGCTCATCTCTCCCCCACCCCAGCTTCCGTATGCGCCAAGTGAATATCGTGGGCACCAGCCCCCCCAGTCAGCCTTCTAGAAAGATCCAGACTCTGCAGGCACCCCCTGACATGGCTCCAGCCAACGTGTCTCTGCGAACAGCCAGTGAGACCAGCCTGTGGCTGCGCTGGATGGTGAGGTTCCCTCGAGGGTAGGGTGGGACCTCTCCATGAGCTCCAGTCCTTGCCTCCCAGAAGGCGACCCTCAGAGTTCCTACAGCTCCTTTTTCTTCTCTTTACTTACCTGGCTAGTTGCCGGATCAGCAGCATCTTAGCCAAATGAACAAACGCGCCCCATGAGAGGAAGAAGCTAAAAAAGACTGTGTACTGAGCATTGCCATGTGCCAAGCATTTTAAATTTTTTATCCCATTTGATTCTCCCAGGAATCTTACAAAGGACACATGATTATCCCAATTTACAGCTAAGAAAACTGAGGCTCAGGGAGGTTACAAACTTGCCCCTGGCCACACAGCTCCCAAGCGGGGGGTCTGGGATTCAGGTGCCACTGTGGCATTCAGAGAGTGTGCCCCAGATCAGGGCTGTGGGTTGAGGGTCATGACCCTGGGCCATCCTGCACGAGGTGGTAATACTAACACGCCAAGGCTTCCTCTCCTCCCATCTGCTGACCTGACAACAAGCCTGTGACAGCACAGTGATCCTGGTCCTCTTTTTTTTTTTTGAGACAGAGTTTTGCTCTTGTTGCCCAAGCTGGAGTGCAGTGGTGTGATCTCAGCTCACCACCTGGGTTCAATAAATTCTCCTGCCTCAGCCTCCTGAGTAGCTGGGGTTACAGGTGCTAGAGGCGCACCATCATGCCCCACTAATTTTTTATGTTTTTAGTAGAAACAATTTCACCATGTTGGCCAGGCTGGTCTCGAACTCCTGACCTCAGGTGGTCCACCTGCCGCGGCCTCCCAAAGTGCTGGGATTATAGACGTGAGCTGCCGCACCCTGCTCCTGGTCCCCATTTTGCAGATGAGGAAACTGGGGCAGAAGAGAGGTCAGATAATTTGCCCAAGGCCTCGCACATCCTCCCACATGCTTTCATGAACAGCAGGGCTGAGGTCCAGACCCAGGGAGTCTGTACCGGCAAGTTCACAGCCCTAACCATTGAGTTCATCCGCTGGAGAACAGCAGAGGCCATTTCTCCCCCAGGCCCTGTGCAACATCCTCTCCCAGCATGGGTCCCACAGAGCAGCCATCCCAGGAGGCGCTTGGAGCAAACAAGCAATTCTTAGGCAAATAAATGACCACATACCACAGCTCCGCAGAGAAGCCAGGAACACTAGCATCGCAAGAGCCCTCTTGACCCTGTGTAACCCCTTTCTTTCTATATAAGATCCTACTCATTGTGCAAAACACAACGTGCAAACACACCTCGCCGTGAAGTCATTACTGCTGTTCCCACGTGCAGACAGCTTGATGCTAATGGCGGTGAAAGCAGTTGGCACCGTCAGTCCTCGATAAATATTAGTTATTAATTGCAATTCCCTTCCCGGAGTGGCTGGCACCTGAGCAGAGCTGCAGAGCTGACTCAGCCCAGCTCAGTGCCCCATGCACAGTGTGACATGCCCGCCTCTTGCCCCTTCGCTCCTGGGCATCCCCACCCCAGGCTGGCTCCCTGCTTTCTTCCTGAACCTCACTTTAAGGTTTGTAGCTACTAAAAGGTTAGAGTCTGACGCTGAGGGCAGCGGCTGCACGGGGGAATAGAAAGGCAGTTGCCATGCAGTACAGGGCCCCAGACACCTCTTAGCCCACGCTTAATGGTGCGTGGTCCATTACCTTTCCTTAGCAGGTAAGGGAACATGCACTTGAGCCCCATCTCCAGCTCTCAAGCCCATCGATTGCTATCTTAATGGTCTCTGGTCGGCTTAACTAAGTGTATGCAGGAGGGAGGACACGTGGGGTGAGCAGGGGAGGTCAGGGCCGAAGGTGAGGGGTGGAATAAAGTGGGTCAGCCTGTGGTGAGCCTGTGGACTGTGGGTCCTCCAGAGCCCCTGGAGAAGCAGTATCAGGGCAGGTGAGGGATGGAGATGCCCCCACTCCAGCTCTGTGCGCTTCAGAGGTGTGGAGACCAAGCCCTGGGCTCACATCTGCTTCAGACCCCGGGCTCCCCTCCCCGTGCTCACACCCCCACTCTTCACCAACACTGCCCATTTCACCCACCCAACCTTGAGCCAGAGTCCACAGCCCCACCAGCCTAGTCCGACGGTCCAGCAAAGAAGTCGGACTTTTCTTTGAAACTCAAGAGGAAGAGGCTGGTTAGGTGCCGTGGCTTGTAATCCTAGCAGTTTGGGAGGCTGAGGCGAGCAGATGGCTTGAATTCAGGAGTTTGAGACCAACCTAGGCAACATGGTGAAACCTCGTGTCTATAAAACTTAGCAGGCATGGTGGCACATGCCCTATAGTCCCAGCTACTCAGGAGGCTGAGGCAAGAGGATTGCTTGAGCCCAGGAGGTTGTGGTGAGCTCAGATGGCATTATGGCACTCCAGCCTGGGAGACAGAGTCAGTAAATAGGCCAAGCATGGTGGCTCACACCTGTGATCCCATCACTTTGGGAGGCTGAGGCAGTTGGATCACGAGGTCAAGAGATCAAGACCATTCTGGACAACATGGTGAAACCCTGTCTCTACTAAAACTACAAAAATTAGCTAGGCATGTGGTGTGCACCTGTAATCCCAGCTACTCAGGAGGCTGAAGCAGGAAAATCACTTGAACCTGGGAGGCGGAGGTTGCAGGGAGCTAAGATGATACCACTGTATACCAGCCTGGAGACAGAGCAGACTCTGCCTCAAAAAAAAATTAAGGAGGCTGAAAATGCAGCAGGAGAAACTGAGGTTTGCTGGACAGAAGAACTGACCGGCAGGTGCCCCATTCATCCTGCTCTCTGCCCACGCTCGCTCCTCCAAAGGCAGGCAAGAGCTGAGACCAGTTGTGGCAGGCAATTAAGTGTGTGCTGGCAGCAGGAGTGACGGAGGTAAGCAGCAGAGCCAGCAGAGCCAGAGGTGGCGGTGCTATCAGCGTGTTGGACAGACAGCCTTTGTGGGTCTCCTGACTCCCTTGGCAGGGTAATAGATTTGTCACATACACAGTAAAGAAAGGATGCCGCTTCTCCGTCCTCCCTGCAGGAAGATAAGAGCCCATCAGAAACACAATCACAGAACCTAAGCCACACTCAGGTGAGAGAGCCTCATGTGGCCACTGACCAGGTGACCGTGGGATGGACAGCCCTGAGGGCTCCCTGGAGGAGGGGATACCAGGGCAGTTCTTCCTGGCACAGGGGGGCCTGGCTCATAGCAGCTTTGCCGCCCCTGCCCCACTGCAGCCTCTCCCGGAGATGGAATACAATGGGAACCCGGAGTCCGTGGGCTACAAAATCAAGTACAGCCGGTCAGACGGTCATGGCAAGACGCTGAGCCACGTGGTGCAGGATCGTGTGGAGCGGGAGTACACCATCGAGGACCTAGAGGAGTGGACGGAGTACCGTGTCCAGGTCCAGGCCTTCAACGCCATTGGGAGCGGGCCCTGGAGCCAGACGGTGATGGGCAGGACCCGGGAGTCAGGTACCTGCGCTGGAACCCAGCCGCCTGGTAGCCTGGCCCCTCCTTGATCTCTGCCTGTCCCTTCCTTGGTCTCTGTGCCCTCGGGGCTATCCAAGGGCTTGCCAGGCTGAAGCTGTTGTTCAAAAACAGCCTGAGCTCATTTCCTCTGCTTGTGCTCGATGTCGCTGCATCTCCCAGCACCGGCCACCTCCCTGCACTATGCCTGCTCTTCCCATGCTCCCAAGGGGGGTCAGGGGTGACCCCGCCTCTGCAGGATGGCTGGGCAGTCACCACCATTCATACTGCCCACTTCCCTGCACTACGCCTGCTCTTCCCATGCTCCCAAGGGGGGTCAGGGGTAACCCCGCCTCTGCAGGATGGCTGGGCAGTCACCACCATTCATACTGCCCACTTCCCTGCCCGCAGCTTTAACCCTGATACCCAGTGGTGCCTGAAAGACCCCAGTGGAGGGATCGGGGAAAGGGTTAGCTCTCAGAACATTCCAGAATCACTACCAGAAGCTCCTAGGTCCCCCTAGCCTGCTCAGGGGACCACAGAATATGAGCCCAGCATTCAGGCAACCCTTATCCATCCACACGTAGTTCACTGCTCTGTGGCTTTTTCCTGGCACCCACGAGCAGCTTTCCAGGGTCGCCCCCACCAGCCCTCTCTGCTGTGCTAGCAGGAAATGCAAGCTCATTTAATCCTAACCTGAGCAGAGAATCCTGTGGGCTCCTCTGAGCCCGGAAGCAGCATCTGTGGCATTCCAAAACCAAAGGCCACTTGGTGGGATCATCTGCAGTTTGGGGACCATGTGTGCCATATTTCTTCCATAGAGAGGACACATCAAGCTGGCCCCTCCCTCGGCCCCTGTCCTGGTCCATGTCCCTTGCACGGTCAACATTGGGTCCTGAGTGCTTTCTCCCCACTCCCTTCCCCCCTCAGTCCCCTCTTCCGGCCCCACCAATGTGTCTGCACTGGCCACCACCTCCAGCAGCATGCTGGTGCGCTGGAGCGACGTCCCTGAGGCTGATCGCAATGGACTTGTGCTAGGCTACAAGGTGAGTTCTGGAATCCCAGGAGGTAGAGTCCCTACGCTGGCCCCTCCAGCCCCTCCATCCAAGGGGCCTTGTCCTTATCATCCTCTGGGTCTCTGCCTCCTAGAGTGGATACAGGGAACCCTCCTGGTGTCCTCGCCAATGGTCACCATGGCAACCAGGAGTCATCCCTCAGGGTGGGGAGTCACCCAGAGAACACCCAGGTCCTAGAGCCATTCCACCTCTTCCAGGAGGCCACACCAGATGCCCCCAGCCTCATTCAGCTCTCATGGGCCCAGTTTTGACTTTCATTATCTTCTAGAATCCTTTTTAAAGCTGTGCCTACCTAGCTGCATGGTCCAGCCCTGGGCTGGAAGTTGGGAGACATGAGTTGAAGACTCAGCTCTGCCACTGCTAGCTGTGTGACCTTGCAGAAGGCACACCCCCTGCCTGGGACTATCATCCCACCTCCATGCCCTCTCAGGAACCTTCTCGCTCTGTGACTGAATCGGTCTTTGTGTCCCCAGCCCTCCGGGTACACTAGCCTTGCAATCACCCCCGGCCCTTGGGGCCAAGTCACTCTGAGGAACCCACGTCTACCCACCCCCTCCCTGGGAACGAGGCTCAGGAAAAGTGCTGATGGGTGAGACCCAGGCCCGAGGCCCTCACCTGTGCTGGCCATGACAGGTGATATATAAGGAGAAGGACTCAGATGCCCAGCCCCGATTCTGGCTGGTGGAAGGCAACTCATCTCGCAGTGCCCAGCTCACCGGCCTGGGCAAATACGTGCTCTACGAGGTCCAGGTTCTGGCCTTCACTCGCATCGGAGACGGCCGCCCCAGCCACCCTCCCATCTTGGAGCGGACACTGGATGACGGTGAGTCCTAACCCCAGCAAGCCTGGGGAAGGCTGGGAGGGGCTGCCCTTCCTCCTGCCCATCGGGACTTGCCCTTCTGGGATCAGGCTCTGCCCCATGGGGAGCCATGACCTCAGATGCCTCCTTTAGAGACAGGTCACTCAGAGCTACCAGCCCCACTGCAGGGGATGCTAATTGCAGCCCGTGTATCCCCGAGGACAACGCGGAGGCAGTTTGACATCTGATTCAGTGTCTTGGTCTCTCTGCAAGACAAGTGTATGGAATAGGGACTTTCACCAGTTTTAATTTACTTTTCTGTTTTCTTCTTTTTTTTGAGGCAGAGTATTGCTCTGCCACCCAGGCTGGAGTGCAGTAGTACGATCTTGGCCTACTACAGCCTTCACCTCCAGGATTCAAGCGACTCTCCTGCCTCAGCCTCCCAAGCAGTTGGGATTACAGGCACTCCCCACCATGCCCAGCTAATTGTTTTATGGGGTTTTTTTTTTGAGACAGAGTCTTACTCCATCACCCAGACTACAGTGCAAGATCTCAGCTCACTGCAACCTCCACCTCCCAGGTTCAAGCAATTGTCCTTCCTCAGCTTCCCGAGTAGCTGAGACTATAGGCACATGCCACCATGCCCGGCTACTTTTTTTGTATTTTTAGTAGAGATGGGTTTTACCGTGTTAGCCAGGATAGTCTCGATCTCCTGACCTATGATCTGCCTGTCTCCGCCTCCCAAAGTGCTGGGATTACAGGCATGAGGGCACCTGGCCCGTTGTATTTTTAGTAGAGATGGGACTTCACCATATTGGCCAGGCTGGTCTCAAACTCCTGATCTCAGGTGATCCACTGCCTCAAACTCCCAACATGCGAGCCACCGCACCCGGCCAGTTTTATTTTATTTTTTACTACTTTGAGTAAAGGTATGTGAAAGTGAAAGTATATTTCCTGGACACATGAACCTCCTGGTCCTGTTTGCAAAAGAATGTCACCAGCTGGCTGCAGGCATTCATCCCGGTAGCAAAACTCCCCGTCAGAAGCTGATCAATGCATCCCTTGCCCCCTCTCACCTCCCCACACACACCCCACCTACTGCCCACCACAGACATTTGCAGGAGCTGGACCAGAGTGCAGAGGGAAGCCCAAATACCATATGTTTGTATATGCCAACATTATTAATCAAGCTAATGAACTGTTAAATTAAATATGTTCTATCCTCCTGCCTTGACAGATATACCCTTATAATGAACTAGAAGGCCAGGTTCAAGTTTAGAAATCTCAGGCCCAGTGCGGTGGCTGACGTCTGTAATCCTAGTGCTTTAGGAGGCTGAGGCAGGCAGACCACTTGAGGTCAGGAGTTTGAGACCAGCCCGGCCAACATGGTGAAACGCTGCCTCTACTAAAAATACAAAAATTAGCCAGGTGTGGTGGCACGTGCCTATAGTCCCAGCTACTGGGAGGCTGAGACAGGAGAATTGATTGAACCCAGGAGGCAGAGGCTGCAGTGAGCCAAGATTGCACACTGCACTCCAGCCTGGGCGAGGGAGTAAGACTCTGTCTCAAAAAAAGAAAAAATTAGGAACTCTCAGACATCTTGCCATTCTGTGCTGGAATGTGGCAACACAGAAGAGTGCCTCCACTTCAGCTGTCCTCCCCCACCCTCTGCCTGTTCTCTCCTCACCCTCTCCTTTGGCCCACTCCATTCAATCTTCATCTCCACACCTGTAAAATGGCTTCCTCTTGGCCATCCCTGGAGCCAGGGGTGCATAGCCTACCCCTGGAGGGTGGATGTGGGGAACCAGCCCATGCAGCCCCTGGAAGCTTAGGGCTCTCTGGGCAGGGAATTCCAGGATCCCAGGATTCCAGAGCAAGGTCTAAAGAGATGAGTGGTACAGGCTGGGGGTGGGCATTTCCCAATGCCCACAACCACTTCACCCCATGATGGAAGGAAGTCAGAACAGGACCTTTTGATGCACAGACCCATCCATCCAGGGGCCAGGCGCCCAGCTCTGAGGGCAGCCTGGTTCTGGAGCGTGTATACAGACAGTGAGCAGAGGAATCTGGAGCCTTGGGTCTTTGCCAAATGACACCTATTTTAAGGGCAGAAAGCCCACTTGGTTCCATGTTCTCGATCCTGGTTTCTAACACAGTGCCAGGCACAGGGCAGCAGTCCACAGAAATTCATTGAGCTGAGCTGCCCATTCCCCTCCACCCCACCAGGCTGCTCTGCCTGAGTGGGGCTCATCCCCAGCTGAGTGGAGCCTCACAAGTCGGCCTCTTCTCCTTTGCTCGCTCCAGTCCCAGGACCACCCATGGGCATTCTGTTTCCGGAGGTGCGGACCACATCTGTGCGGCTGATCTGGCAACCCCCTGCTGCCCCCAACGGCATCATTCTTGGTAAGCCTCTGCCCTCCCCATGCCCCAGCTACAGGAATGAGGAGGCATGATCTGCAGAGGAGGCCACTTCGTTACTGGCTAGAGGGCGAGTAGCCCCAGGGAGCCTCCACGTGCCCTCTAAATTGGGATCTGGGTGTTAGTCCTCCCGTTAGAAGTTCCAGGCTGTAAGATTCTCTTCTGGAGGGCAAGATCAGAGTTCAAGTCCCTTAAAGGTCATGGGTTGGCTTTGCATCCCTGAATGTCCCCAGGCCCCAGCCCCCTGGCCATCTGGTAAACCTCGGATGCTGTTCCTTAACGTGGCCAATTGAGGGCATGCTGGCAGGTTCAGCACAGCTGGAAGACAGGCCCAAGGTGCAGGGGAGGGAGGCTGCAGAGGGGAAGCTTCATTTCAAGTTCAGGGTTCCCCCAACACATGCATCCAGGGTTCCGGGCAGCACTGCGTAAACTGGAGCAAGTCTGCTCCCCTCTGCGACCTCAGTCCCCTCACCTTTAAAATGGTGGCTTGGACTGCCAGTGCCTGTCCCAGGGTTCTCAGTTCTGACCTCATGTACCACCTGCCTTAGAGCGATGCCACATTCCTAAGACAGAGCGGAGGCAGGGAGAGCAAGTGCTTTCACTTAGACGTCAGCTGGGATTCCAGCTCGGTTACTTACTAGCCAGTGGTCTGGCCTCTCCAGGCCTCAGTTTCTTCACTTGGGGCTGTTATGGGGGTCACAGACACTGTGCATAGAGTGCCTCTCCATGCCCCCCGCAGTCCACCCTCCCCATGTGGCAGCTGAAGACTGGAGATTGAACCAGAGGCCTCAGGCAGACAGACCACAGCCAAGGTGACCACAGCAAGGTGGCCAGGTGCCAACACAGCTGTGGCTTCAGACAGAATGGCCCTTCCCAGGGTGCTGGGGGGCAGCCTAACTTGCTTGCTATGATAGCTGTGTGCTTCCTCCCACAGCTTACCAGATCACACACCGGCTCAACACCACCACGGCCAACACCGCCATGGTGGAGGTGCTGGCACCCAGTGCCCGCCAGTACACAGCCACAGGCCTCAAGCCAGAGTCTGTCTACCTGTTCCGCATAACGGCCCAGACGAGAAAGGGCTGGGGAGAGGCTGCCGAGGCCTTGGTGGTGACCACTGAGAAGAGAGGTGACTGCCCACAGGGGTCAGGGGAGGCCTGGGGCGCAGCTGAGGGGGCACCCACAGCCAGCCAGCACTCCGAGCCACTCCTAGTGGATGGTGGTATGAGCCACGGTGCCCTGGGTGAGAATGGAGGGCGGGCTCCAATCTCTGCAGTCAAAGTCAGCGAGGGGTCTGGTAGATTCCCAGAGAGGAGCTGGGAGTTCCAAGGACCCTGCCCTGGTCTGGTTTTGTAAAGGGAAGGTTAGTGGCCAGGCGTGGTGGCTCACACCTGTAATCCCAACACTTTGGGAGGCCGAGCCAGGTGGATCACTTGAGGTCAGGAGTCTGAGAACAGCCTGGCTGACATGGCAAAACCCCATCTCCACTGAAAATACAAAAATTAGCCAGGTGCAATGGCACACACCTGTAATCCCAGCTACTAGGGAGGCTGAGACATGAGAATCACTCCGGGAGACGGAGGTTGCAGTGAGCCAAGATTGCACCACTGCACTCCAGCCTGGGTGATGGAGGGAAATGATCTCTAAATTAACTAATTAATTAATTAAGGGAGGGTTAGTGACATCTTCCCCTCTCCCCTCGCAGCCCTGGCCTTGCCATGACAGACAGGCACAGGATTAGGGCTGCAGCCTGGAGCTCCAGCTGCCACTTCACTGCTGCCCTGAGCTGCCATATTGCCTGAACTTGGGCTCCCCAAAAGCAAGCCTGGGACCCCAATTGTTCTGAAAGGGATATATTAGAAAATACTCTAAGCCTGGGACACATAGCGAGACCCTGTCTCTACAGAATGTAGAAATATTAACCAAAGGCTGGGTGCGGTGGCTCACACCTGTAATCCCAGCACTTTGGGAGGCTGAGGATGGCAGATCACCTGAGATCGGGAGTTCAAGACCAGCCTGGCCAACATGGTGAAACCCCATGTCTACTAAAAATACAAAAATTAGCCAGGCATGGTGGTGAGTGCTGTAATCCCAGCTATTTGGGAGGCTAGGGAAGAGAATCCCTTGAACCTGAGAGGCAGAGGTTGCAGTGAGCCGAGATCGCACCACTGCACTCCAGCCTAGGTAACAGCGAGATAATAGCCAGGTATGGTGGTGTACATCTGGAGTCCCAGACATTCAGGAGGCCAAGGTAGAAGGAGTGCTTGAATCAACGAGTTTGCAGCTGCAGTGAGCTTTGATGGTGCCACTGCACTCCAGCCTGGGCAACAGATATAGACCCTGTCTGTGTTTTAAAGAAAGGAAGGAAGGAGGGAATGGAGGGGAGAGAGGAAAGGGGAGGGGGGAGAGGAGAGATGTGGGGGAAAGAGAGAGAGTGAAAGAATGAAAGGAGGGAGAAAAGAGAGGAAGGAAGCGAGGGAGAAAGGAAGGGAAGGGAAGGAAAGAAAGGAAGAAGGGAGGGAAGGAAGAAAGAGAAAAAGAGAGAGGGAGGGAGGGAAGGGGGAAAGGAAGGAGAAAATGTACTCAGGAAAAACCAGTAGACAGTGCTTTTTGACTACTTTGGCCCCAGGGCACATTGGCCCTCTCCGGAGACATTTTGGTTGTCACAAGGTGGGGATGCTACTGTCATGGGTGGAGGCCAGGGACACTGCTAAGCCTCCTGCAGAGCACAGATGCCCCCACCACATAGTCATGTGTTCTGAATTCCAGTAATGCTGAGGTTTGAGAAGCCCCACAGGAAGGAGGGGGCAGTGAGGCTGGGGAGAGAAGAAAGCCAAGCTGGGGCCTGGACTGAAGCAGCATCCCTCATAGGGAAACAGCCTCATCCCACTCCATTGGGAGACAGCAAAGGGCCCTGCTAGGCCTCATTCAGGAGCAAAGGAGGAGCAAAGGAGCAGGGTGGGTGTTTGTCCCTCCTCACCGTCAGTCCCTGCTTAGAGCTGCCCTGAGGAGCTGTAAGTTCCCAGAACCTGGGGCTCTAGGTTGAGCCTCTGACCTGGGGAGAGATGCTGGCTGTACCCAGGTGTGGAACCTGCAAGGATTCTGCGTGCCTGGAATTGGGATGGGAAGGGGATGCCAGGCTTGAGCCCAAATCTCCTCCTTTCCTTCTCAAGAAAGTCCAGCCCCCTCCACCGCCCTGGGCCAGCTGGCTCACCTGCTCCTCCCCCTCTGCCATCTCCCAGACCGCCCGCAGCCCCCCAGCAGACCAGTGGCACAGCAGGAGGATGTGAGAGCACGCAGTGTGCTGCTGTCCTGGGAGCCCGGGAGCGATGGGCTCTCCCCTGTGCGCTACTACACCATCCAGACCCGTGAGCTGCCCAGTGGCAGGTGGGCACTGCACTCGGCCTCCGTCAGCCACAACGCTTCCAGCTTCATTGTGGACAGGTGAGGCCCGGGTCCACGCCAGCATCCCCACCGCCCCTCCCCACACCAGGACCAGCACGTCAGCCAGCTGTTGTCAGAAGGTCTACTGGTTGGAGGTGGGGGGGCCTTCTGAGAACACCTCCAGCCTGCCCCCAGCTCTCCTCCTAGCACGCATCACCCAGGGGTCTCCGTGTCCGCTCTCACCCTCTCAACCTGGCTCCCTCTCCCCCTGTTCCTCCTGAACCCTGTTAGATTGCCTCTTCATTATTTCTGGAGCCCAGAAGTCCCCTTTAGTGAAGTGCCTGTCATCCTTCATTAGTGATTCTTCCAGTTGGGCAGTCTCTTCCTCTCCAGCTTTAATAGGGGAGTGGAGCTTCACTCCGAAATTCTAGCTTCAATTTAATTCCGAGTGGGTTGTATTTTTTTATATTCCAGTTGACGTGACCAGGAGTTTTGAGCAATACTTTCTTCCCCACCTCTCCCATCCCCCATAAATCTAAAAGACAGACGTTTGCTCCTAGAGGAAATAAAGGCTTATTGAGAGGAAGTACTGCTTAACTCTTGAGAACCTCAACTCTTCTCTAATTTACTAAATTTAAGAAAGAAAAACTGGGCACAGTGGCTCACACCTGTAATCTCAGCACAAGGCGGGAGGATCACTTGCGGTCAGGAGTTTGAGAAACCCTGTTTCTACTAAAATACAAAAATTAGCTGGGCATGGTGGCACACACCTGTTATCCCAGCTACTTGGGAGGCTGAAGCAGGAAAATCACTTGAACCCAGGAGGCAGAGGTTGCAGTGAGCCAAGATCACGACACTACACTCCAGCCTGGGTGACAGAGCGAGATTGTCTCAAAAAAAAAAAAAAAGAAAAAAAGACTCCATCTTAAAAAAAAAAAAAAAAAAAAAAATGAGCTGGCAGTTTGTTGGGATGCAGGGGAGGAGTTTGTTTGGAGAGGAAGATACTGGTGATTTCATTGGCTGCATGGTTCTAGGAAGTGAGGAATCTGCAGACATTTCCTTCTCGGGAAGCTATGGCTTATAACTGGGGCTAAAGGCTCCCCGAGCTGGCATGGTCTGGAGGACCTGGTCTGGGTATGTGGGACCCCTGGGGCTGAGTTCCAGTTTGTCCACTTTGTAGCAAAGCTCCATCCTGAGCCTCAGTGTTCCCTTCTGTGTGGTGGGCTTGCACCCCACCCCTTTCCCTGAGCAGATCAGGGAGACTCCTTGGTGGTGGCACAGGGCGAGGGTTTTAAGGAGCACCTTGGCTCATTGGACCTGATTTCCCCCCACAGGCTTAAGCCCTTCACGTCCTACAAGTTCCGAGTGAAGGCAACCAATGACATTGGTGACAGCGAGTTCAGTGAGGAGTCGGAGTCACTGACCACCCTGCAGGCCGGTCAGTGCCCGCCCCCAGCAATCTCTCCCCGCCCACTGGCTGCTTTCTGGGCCGGTCAGTGCCCGCCCCCAGCAGTCTCTCCCTGCCCACTGGCTGCTTCCTGGGCCGGTCAGTGCCTGCCCCCAGCAGTCTCTCCCCGCCCACTAGCTGCTTCCTGGGTATGGGGCATTCTTTTCTGGGGAGAGGGGACTCCAAAGATGAGAGGGGCGTGGGGCCCACTGGGATCTGTGGGGCCCACTGGGATCTTCGGCTCCCAGGTAGGGTCTCAGGGAGGCTTGGGCCAGACACACCTTTGCCAAGGGCTCAGGGTCCCAGGCCCAGCCCGGCCTGTGGCACATTCCTTCCTTGTATCCCTGCCAGTGAGCGGTATGGGAGGTCCCGGCAGCAGCAAAATTGGCCTGCGGCTCTGAGGAGCAGAGTGGAGGGGGCTCTGGGACCCTTGGGTTTGGGCTGGGTCAGCTCACAAACCCTCCCTCCCTCCCCTTCACACCGCCCCTTTGTTCTGCAGAAGTTGAGCCAGCAGCACGGAGGCCGATGCAGGCTGGACATGTCCCGCAGTCCAGTGCTAGCAGAATCTGGTCCCCGTGGGCTCCTGCGGGACATCAAGCCATGGCCCCCAGAACCCACCTATCTGCCTCTCTCCACAGCCCCTGATGAAGCGCCCACCATCCTCTCAGTGACGCCCCACACCACCACCTCCGTGCTAATCCGATGGCAGGTACAGCCCAGCAGGCAGGAAGGCTCCATGAAGACTCGGACAAGCTCTGTTCTAGGACTGGAAGGCCAGCAGTCCCCACCAGGGCTGCAGGGAGCCCCCAGGTTCTCTGCTGTCAGAGCACCTGGGAAGCCATGAGAAATCCAGGCGTGTGCATGTCACGGAACATTCTATGCACACACATGCACGCACATGCACACACACACACACACACACTCGCACAACACACCTCATTATGCTCTCCAGACAGTCATATCAGCCAGCTGCCATCATCCCCTTCTGCAGATGACCACTGAGACTCAGGGCGTAACCCCAATGGCCCCAGGTCACACAGCCCGGGAGTGGCAGGGCCAAGTGTATTAGCCTTAGGTCTGCTGAGTCCTTGGTCTGGAAAGTGCTTGGGGCTCTCAGGGCCCCCAGAGTCTCTGTGAAGCCACCACTGGTCAGTGAAGAAATTCCTTATATAGAGACCCGTGTCCGTCACCATTGCTGTCCAAGTAGAGAGAAAATGCCCCACTTCCTCCACACCCCTTCCAGATGCCCAGTTTGGTGGACACTGCCATGACCTGGGGAAGACCACCGGCAAACCTCAGCAACCAGGCTGCTCATGGTTCCTGCCCGGTGGGGCCCTCCTGTGCCCTCTGAAGTCCAGCTTGATTCAGCAGGTCACCCACAGAGGCCCCAAAGCACTAAACTCCCGTCACCCCTTCTCCTGATCAAAGGGGCAGGCACTCGCGTTCAGCCATCTGCTGTCCCCCATAGAGAAAGCCCTTGAAGACAAAGCCAGGAGGGCCCCCCCAGCCCCTTCCCAGCCTGAGACACACAGCCTCAAGAGAGGATACTCCCTTAGATGAACACGACCTAGTGCTCCTGTGACCAGGATGAGGCTGGAGCAACTCGGCAGAGGGGGCAGGGAGGTGCCCACAGCAGCTGGGGAAGCCATAAGGAGCTAATAAAGGCTGAGCCATTCCAGCAGGTTTTTGGGTTTTTTTTTTTTTTTTCTTTTTTTTTTTTTGAGACAGAGTCTTGCTCTGTCACCCAGTCTGGAGTGCAATGGCACGATCTCGGCTCACTGCAGCCTCCGCCTCCCATATTCAAGCGATTCTCCTGCCTCAGCTTCCCAAGTAGCTGGAATTACAGGTGCCCGTCACCACACCCAGCTAATTTTTGTATTTTTAGTAGAGATGGTGTTTCACCGTGTTGGCCAGGTTGGTCTCAAACTCTTGACCTCAGGTGATCCGCCTACCTCGGCCTCCTAAAGTGCTGAGATTACAGACATGAGCTACCCAGCCTAATCCAGCTGATCTGTATATTTTTAGTAGATACGGGGTTTCACCATGTTGGCCCCACTGCTCAGCCCATTCTTTATATGCAGTATCATTAAGAAGTAGTTCCCACCTTCTCCCAAAGCCTGTTCTGCAGCTAAGCTGTAGACAGGAGAAGCAGCAAAGGAGAATTTGATGAAGGGGTGAGGGGCACATTCACCTTTGCCAGTACGAAGAGTAGGAGAGGGCTCAGCTTGCAGGAAACGCCAGGAAGATTTATCCAGGTGTGAAGGCAGGGACTAGCAGGCCTGGGGAGGCTGGTGATTAGGGGAGGGCAGCCTTGAAGACAAAGGAGCTGTGAAAACAGCTGTGTGCTCCAGCCCCCAATGATGCTGTGTGATCTTGGGCAAGTTCCTTAACATCTCTGAACTCCAGTTCCCTGCTTGGGCAAAAGGCAATTACAGATTCCTGCCCTTCCCTCCTTCCAGGGAACGCTGCAGGGATGAAATCGCCTCATCAGAAGTGCTTTGTAAATTTAAAATGCTCAATGTTAACTTGATTTCTTTCCCTGGTTGAAACACCCTGCTCTGTGGCTGCAGGAGGCATGATAAGTGGGCATGGGGTGGGGTGGGCGGTGGTCCTGGCTCCCTCCCCATTCCCTGCTCCCTTCGCTGCAGCCACCAGCTGAGGACAAGATCAACGGCGTCCTCCTGGGCTTCCGGATCCGGTACCGGGAGCTGCTCTATGAAGGACTGAGGGGCTTCACGCTTCGAGGCATCAACAACCCGGGGGCTACATGGGCCGAGCTTACCTGTGAGTGGCACTTGGGAGCCGGGGGAGTGGGTGGGACAAAGTGGTCACTCTCACCTTCCTGCTCTGGAGCTCTCAGCTTCCTGGAACCACTCTAACCTGAAACCCTGCCTCCCTCCCCTGTGTGTGCCTCTCCCTTCTCCCATCCCATTCATTTCTGTACTGGATATTTGCTGAGCACCTTCTACGGGCCCCAAGACACTGCAGGGCACACCAATCATCAAGACAGACAGGGTCCTTGCCCCCGTGGAGTTGCAGGCTGGAGGAGGAGCCAGGAGAGCCAGGAAGGAAGCATTCTAAGAGGGCCAGGCAAGGCTTTCTCGGCGTGAGGCTCACTGGCTCTGGCGCTAACATGGAAGGACAATGCCAAGTTAGCCAGGCCAAAGGGATGGGGACAGCCCAGTGCATGGGAAGGAGCACCCTGCCCTTGAGGGACCAGAAGCCTCGCCTGGTCACACCCCAAGACCAGCAGTCCTGAATTCCTCTTTTTCCTGGGGGAAGTCCCTGTCCTGCCTGTCCTGGGGATCCAGGCTGCCCCCTGGCGTGAAAGAAGGAAAGCAGGGAGGCCAGGTGGAAATGTCAGGGAGAGCTGATGCCCAGGAGGTCACAGCAAGGGACAGATGTGCTCGGACTTTTGTGTTAGGAGTCACTTTGGTAGCGTGAGGATAATAGCTTGGCCATGGTGGGAGGAAAGTAGCCAGAGGCAGGGGCCCAGCTGGAGGCTGTCACGGTCACATAGCAAGAGAGCACGAGGTTGGAACCAAGGCCAGTCTGGGAGGTGATACGTGATGGGCACAGATGCTCCAAGACTCAGGGTTTTCTTCTGGTTTGTTTTTGTTTTCGAGATGGAATCTCGCTCCGTTGCCCAGGCTGGAGTGTAGTGATGCAATCTCGGCTCACTGCAACCTTCACCCACTGGGTTCAAGTGATTCTCGTGCCTCGGCCTCCCAAGTAGTTGGAACTACAGGCGCGTGCCACCATACCCGGCTAATTTTTTTGCTTTTTGTTTGTTTGTTTGTTTTATTTAGTAGAGACAGGATTTTGCCATGTTGGCCAGCCTGGTCTTGAACTCCTGACCTTAAGTGATCTGCCTGCTTTGGCCTCCCAAAGTGCTGGGATTACAGGTGTGAGTCACCGTGCCTGGCCTGTTTTTGATTTTTCAAAGTAAATCAGTCACTCACATAATAATTGCTTAGTATTCCACATTGGCAGATAGTTGGGTGTGTTTATGACACTTAAGAGCGTTAGACAAAATGCTGCAAAGTGGTGCAATAGGTAAAATATTTTACAGCACAGCAGATAGCAACAATAATTAGAACACCTTGGTACGTAATGAAAGAAAAAACAGGTTTTCCCGGTGGCTCAGAGCTGATGTTCAGCTACACCTTTGGCTTGTTTGGGTCTGAAGTGCTTGTATTCACCTGAGATTTGGATTCAGATCACTAGAGGTTTTTATAAAGATCCTCCTTCCCTAAATATCCTCCATCTACCCGTCTGGGACTCCATGATTGGTTCATAGTGGGAGAGAGCAGCAGGCAGGGGTACCCCAGAGGACTGGGTACTGAGGTGGGTGTGGGACACTCACCCAAACAGACTAGCAGGGGAGCAGGTCAGTTTAAGAGCCTCTTCATTTTCCTTTTTTTGAGATGAGTTTCACTCTTGTTGCCCAAGCTGGAGTACAATGGCGTGATCTCAGCTCACCGCAATCTCTGCCTCCTGGGTTCAAACAATTCTCCTGCCTCAGCCTTCCAAATAGCTGGGATTACAGGTACATGCCACCACACCCAGCTAATCTTTTGTATTTTTAGTAGAGAGGTTTCACCATGTTGGCCAGGCTGGTCTTGAACTCCTGACCTCGTGATCCACCCACCTCAGCCTCCCAACGTGCTAGGATTACAGGTACGAGCCACTGCGCCCATCCCCCTCTTCTTTTTTATAAAGACACAAGTCATTGGATTTAGGGCCAATCCCAAGTAGATGCAATTACAGGCACCCGCTGTCACACCCAGTTAATTTTTGTATTTTTAGTAGAGATGGGGTTTCACCATGTTAGCCAGGCTGATCTCAAACTCCTGACCTTAGGGGATCCACCTGCTTCAGCCCCACAAAGTGCCAGGATATAGGCATGAGCTACTACACCTGGCCTTTTTTTCTTTTTGAGATGAAAGGAGTCTTGCTCTGTTGCCCAGGCTGAAGTGAAGTGGCATGACTTCAGGGCTCACTGCAACCTCTGCCTTCCACGTTCAAGTGATTCTCCTACCTCGGCCTCCCCAATAGCTGGAACTACAGACATATACCACTACACCTAGCTAATGTTTGTGTTTTTAGTAAAGATAGGATTTCACTGTGTTGGCCAGGCTGGTCTCGAACTCCTGACCTCAGGTGATCCACCCGCCTTGGCTTCCTAAAGTGCTGAGATTACAGGCATGAGCCACCATGCTCAGCCTAGCCTCTACATTTTCATGTTTCCTTCCTTAGTTCTCCCAAGCCTTTTGTGCCTTGTCTTATAGTGAGATAGAAGACAACAAAATGATTGAGCATGTAGCAAAGGAATATTGATAGCAAAACTCAGAAGTAGCTGATCCGACAGCTTGCGTTTTCAGTGGAGATTTTTTCCTTTTTCTCTCTTTTTTTTTTTTTTTTTTTTTTTTGCCCATATGTGCTTGTGGTTGTGATTTTATATTGCCTGTGTATAATACAGTCATATTTCCTAGTAGTAAAATTGTTTCTGGTTCATATGAGGAAATTAACAACTGCAGTATTTCATGATGGTTTCCAAGAGCTCTGCCCTGAAACAAGGAAGAGAGTTGAGGTGAGCCGGTCCCCCAGAGCTGTCCCCAGAGATCCTGGGCTACAGGGGGCTCCAGGTACCACGTAACCTTGGGCCAGTGCACACCAAGGTGAGGGCAGACTGTTGGGGGAGCCTCCACCTCCCCTCAGCCCCACCGCATGGTTATCCTGGCCCCTAAATCAGCATTGGAAATCTGGAAACACTCTCTGTCTGTTCACGCTGTCAGCCCCGCCTGGCCGGGGTTTCTTTGTTGGGTGGGGATGTGTGTGCACTAACCTCCTCTGTCTGCTGTCTCCCTCTGCGCCCCGCCCCAACACCCCCACCCATAGCCATGTACTCCATGCGGAACCTGAGCCGGCCCAGCCTCACGCAGTACGAGCTGGACAGTAAGTCTCTTGCTTACATGGTGGCTTCCTCACGGGCCCAGGCCTCCCACGGGGATTGGGAGTGAGGCCTCGAGAGATGTGATCACAGGCTGAGGGGTGTGCCCACCCCAGGAGGCTTGAGGAATGGGACCGCCCCAAACATAAGCGATAGCCCTAAACACACAACAGAATAGGCGGTTGCCAGGGAATGTCTCCTTCACGCCTGCCCTCTGTCAGGTGTGGGCTGGAAAATGAAGGTCTATCCCTGTGCTCTGCTGGGTCGGGGGACAGTGACAGCGGGGGCTGCAGCAGGAGCTGGTGGACACTGCTGCGCATGTGAGCAGGCGTTCACGTGGCTGCTGCCCCGCCCAGTCCCATCGAAGGCACTTCTTGGCCCAGCTGGGTCTTACTGTCTGGGCCCCACATCCAGAGGGAGGTGACAGCAGTTTTAGTCACCTGCGTCCATTGTCCTCCCACGCACCAGGCATGTTCCTGCTGCTGGCACACCCTAGCCCTTGATCTTTCTCTAAAGCCCCAGCCATGGTTCTTCCTGAGACCTAGGGCCTTGCACAAGAGGGTTTCATGCTCAGGGGAAAATAGTACTGATTTAAGGCTAAGTTCTCTTCCTCCTTCCTCCATTCAGCAGTGGCCAACACAGTCTGCATAGACAGCTAGGCAAGGGTAACACCCCTCTCACAGCCCTGTTGAAGGGTAGACTCCACCCAGGGGAAGGGAGCAGGGGCGGGGAACCCAGAGAGAGAACAGTGGAGAGGGTGAGAGAACCTTTCAGCCACCGGGGACAGTGACTGAGCCCGTTTCTTGCGGCTGCGTCCCTCTTCCAAGTTCTGCCAGGCGTTCCCAGCCAAGCACTTGGCAGAAATGTCAGGTTTCTTGGTCCAGAATTCACATCCATCGCGCCCCTCTCCCCTGGAGCTGAGCCCCACGGTGTAAAGAGTTGGTGGAGGGGGACTGAGGGGGCCTGGACTGGGGACTCTGGGCATCTGTCACGGTGGGGAAAGAGGACAGGCCAGGGGTAGGGGATGAAGCTATGGCCAGGTGTGCCCAGGGCAGCTTTGGTGTACACTGGTTTTCCCAGTGTAAACATTCATAGTGCGTTTCAGTCTCAAAAGTGTCCAGTTGGATGGTAAAATGTACGGCCACCCTAGGCCAGGAGGTCAACCAGCACCGCCCTATGTCCAGATTGGCATGGAGCGTCCCCGGGGAGCCCCGCCTCTCACCTCCTTCTTCCTGCACCTTCACACGGTGGGGCTAGAATGCAAGGGTGCCTCATTCCTCCCCCACAGCCTCCATCCTCCCTGGGGGGCACCTTCCCAGGAGGGACAGTGACCTCAGTGTGCTTCCCCTCCCCCGCTCTTCCCCACAGACCTGAACAAGCACAGGCGGTACGAGATACGAATGAGTGTGTACAATGCCGTGGGCGAGGGGCCCTCCAGCCCCCCACACGAGGTCTTTGTGGGGGAGGCAGGTGAGCAGTGTCAGCCCTGTCCAGCCCCAGCATGCCTTTCCCAGCCCCACCCCATTCAGCCGGTAGAGATGGGCTCTGGGATCCCCTCCCCACCCCAGCCACCTCCTCTCCCAGGTTTACTTGCATGCTCACTCCCTATCCCACACGCCCTCCAGTGCCCACAGCAGCACCTCGTAATGTGGTCGTCCACGGTGCCACGGCCACGCAGCTGGACGTGACTTGGGAACCACCTCCGCTGGACAGCCAGAATGGAGACATCCAGGGGTACAAGGTAGGGTGCCCTTGGGCAGAGCGAAGGGGGGATGGACGAGGGACCAGGTCGGGGGCTGGGGAGTGAGTGATAGGTGGTAGGCGGGACAGATGTCCCAGGCCCTCCATTCACCCAGCCAGGTCCTCAGCCCTTGAGGCTCTGCCGTACACCTACCACCTTGGCTGTTTGCACGAACTTCACAGAAATACTGCACAGCAGAAGCTAAACCATGTCCATCCCCTCCAGCCTCCTAAGGGCAGGCTGAGCTTAGGCACCAGAAACCCCAGCCATGCCTCAGCTCGTACCACCTCTGAGCAGCACACACCCCTCCCCGCCACTCCCCAGCCCCATACACAACTTCAGACCACTCCAAGGGGCTTCTGGCCCTGTAATTACAATATTGATACTAATCAGACGGCCAATTAGCAAAGCATCGCTGCCTAGTATTTGGAAATCTCTGTTTGAAAATTATGTCTAGGCCAGGCACAGCGGCTCACACCTGTAATCCCAGCACTTTGGGAGGCCAAGGCAGATGGATCACCTTGAGGTCAGGAGTTTGAGACTAGCCTGGCCAACATGGCAAAACTCCTTCTTTACTAAAAATAAAAAATTATCTGGGCATGGTGGTGGGCACCTGTAATCCCAGCTATTTGGCAGGCTGAGGCAGGAGAATCGCTTGAACCGAGGAGGCAGAGGTTACAGTGAGCCAAAAATGCGCCACTGAACTCCAGGCTGGGCGACAGAGAGAGACTCTGTCTCAAAAAAAAAAAAAGAAATTAAAATTAAAAATCATTTCTAGGGCTACCTGTGGTGGTTCACACCTGTAATCCCAGCACTTTGGGAGGCCAAGGTAGACGGATTGCTTGAGCCCAGGAGCTGGAGACCAGCCTGGGTAACAAAGTGATACCCTAACTCTACCAAAAAAAATTACAAAAATTAGTCAGGTGCAGTGGCATGTGCCTATAGTCCCAGCTACTCTTGAGGCTGAGGTGGGAGGACTGCCTGAGCCAGTGGGGCAGAGATTGCAGTAAGCCATGATGGAGCCATTGTACTCCAGCCTGGTAACAGAGTGAGACGCTGTCTCAAAAAATTAAAAACGATCAGGCTGGGCACGGTGGCTCATGCCTGTAATCCTAGCACTTTGGGAGGCCAAGGCAGGCGAATCACAAGGTTAGGAGTTCAAGACAAGCCTGACCAACATGGTGAAACCCCATCTCTAGAAAAAAAAAAAAGAAAAAAGTTTTTAAAAATCATTTCTAGGTTGTGGACAATGTCCTGTGCTATGATAGAATTCAGTTTCTCCCCAGTATTCACAACGCCCTTTGAAACTCTTGGATCTTCATGAAAGGCCCATGAAGCTGGGAGGATATGGGTTTATATGTTCATTACACAAATGAGGAAACTGAGTTTCAATTTAGATGACCTGGTGAGGTCACAAAAATAGAAGGCAAGCCGGGCACAGTAATCCCAACACACACCTATAATCTCAGCACTTTGGAAGGCCAAGGCAGGCAGATCACCTGAGGTTGGGAGTTTGAGACCAGCCTGACATGGAGAAACCTGGTCTCTACTAAGAATACAAAATTAGCCAGGCATGTTGGTACATGCCTATAATCCCAGCTACTCAGGAGGCTGAGGCAGAAGAATTGCTTGAACCCGGCAGGCGGAGGTTTCAGTGAGCCAAGATTGCACCATTGCACTCCAGCTTAGGCAACAAGAATAAAACTCCGTCTCCAAAAAAATAAATAAATAAATAAAACAGGCAGGCAGCAGAGTCAGATTCCAAGTCTGCCAGCTTTTACCCCACAGGGGTGGAGAGGAAGCACTGGGCACATGAGCACTAGAGGAAGTAGATTTAAAAAGGAACATGAGCCACTGAGCCCAGCCCTTCACAACTCATTTAAAATTTCAAACCTCGGCTGGGCGTGGTGGCTCATGCCTATAATCCCAGCCCTTTGGGAGGCCAAGGCAGGCAGATTACCTGAGGGTCAGGAGTTCAAGACCCATCTGGCCAACATGGCTAAACCCTGTCTCTACTAAAAATACAAAAATTAGCCACGGGTGATAGTGAATGCAAAAACTCCATCTCAAAAAAAATACAAAATACTGGGTGTGGTGACATGTGCCTGTAGTCCCAGCCACTCAGGAGGTTGAGGCAGAAGAATCTCTTGAACCTGGGAGGTGAAGGTTGCAATAAGCTGAGATCACACCACTGCTCTCCAGCCTGGGCAACAGAGCGAGGCTCCGTCTCGGGAAAAAAAAATTACTGACAAATGGAACATGCAGTGGGAGAAAAGGGAGGCAAAAAGGACAGCCCAGACCCTGTGGGATGATGGAGCTTCCACTTACAGAGCAGGAAAAGACAACACTGGTGAAGGAGGAGGCAGGGGAGATGCAGGGAGTCTGATTCCAGACGTGTTTGGTTCAAGATGTCTGTTGGACATTCGAGGGAGACACCAGAGTCGGAGATGTGTGTCTGGAGTTCAAGAGAGAAGGGTCAAACCAGAGGTGTGAATTATGTCGTTCTCAGCATGGAGATGCTGCTGAAAGCCAGGAGCTTAGACAAGGACAGACAGAGAAAAAAAGAAGTCTGCAGATTGAGCCCTGAAACCAAAAAGTGAGTGATGTCTCAGAGCTCCTGGGAAGAACCTCCGAATGGGAGAAAATATTTGCAAAACATACATCTGGTAAGGGGTTAATAGCCACAATATATACGGAACTTATACAACTAACAGGAAAGAAAATGGGGCAAAGGCCCTGAATGGACATTTCTCAAAGGAAGATATATAGGCCGAGTGCGGTGGCTTATGCCTGTAATCCCAGCACTTTGGGAGGCCGAGGCGGGCAGACCACATGAGATCAGGAGTTCAAAACCAGCCTGGCCAACATGGTGAAACGCCGTCTCTACTAAAAATACAAAAATTAGCTGGGCTTGGCAGCAGGTGCCTATAATTCCATCTACTTGGGAGGCTGAGGCAGGAGAATCACTTGAACCCAGGAGGCAGAGTTACAGTGAGCCAGTATCATGCTACTGCACTCCAGCCTGGGTGATGGAGTGAGACTCCATCTCAAAAAGAAAAAGAAGATATACTCATGGTCAACAGGTATCTGAGAAGGTGTTCAGCATCGCTAAACATCAGAGAAATGAAATCAAAATCACAGATATCCCGTTGACTCCTGCACGAATGGCTATCATCAAAAAGTCAAGAGATAAGTGTTGGTGAGGGTGCGGGGAAAAGGGAACCTTTGCACACTGTTGGTGAGAATGTAAATCAGTACCACCATTATGGATAACGGTATGGAAGTTCCGAAGAAAATTAAAAATAGAACACTAATGATCCAGCAATCCCACTACGGGGTGTTTATCCAAAGGAATTGAAACGAGGCTCTTGAAGCGCTGTCTACAGTCACATGTTAATTCCAGCATCGTTCACAGCAGCCAAGATGTGGAAATAGCCTAAATGTCTGTGAACAGATGAATGAATGAAGAAAATGTGGTTTATACACAACAGAATACCGTCCAGCCTTGAAGGGAATCCTGCTGCTGGCAGCAACGTGGATGGACCTGCAGGATATTACACTAAACGAAAAGAAGCGAGCACAGAGCACAGAGCATGACCTCACATGTACGTGGAATCTCAAATAATCACACTCATAGAAACAGAGCGGAATGGTGGTGCCGGGGTGAGGGAGTGAGGGAAGTAGGGAGGCAGTCACAGGGTACAGCGCTTCAGGTAGGCAGGCCGAATCCCGTCTGGATCTAATGTACAGCAGGTGATGATAGTTAATGGTACTATATTGTTCATTTGAAATTTGCTCAGAAGGTTCTTACCACCAAAAGATGATGAACATGTTAATTAGTTTGATTGTGGTAATCACTTCATAATGCATATGTATATCAGAACACCGTGTCATAGATCTTAAATCCATACAGATTTTTTTTTTTTTTTTTTTGAGATGGAGTCTCACTCTGCCACCCAGGCTGAAGTATAGTGGCATGATCTCCATTCACTGCAAACTCTGCCTCCTGGGTTCAAGCAATTCTCCTGCCTCAGCCTCCCGAGTAGCTGGGATTACAGGTGCCCACCACCATGCCCGGCTATATACAGATTTTATTTGTCAATTATACCTCAATAAAGCCTAAAAAAGAAAAGAAAGGGCAGGGAATTGAACATAGTAAATGGCAGGTGGTGATTATACGGGTGCACTCCCATGCCCCGCTTTGTTCACATAAGGCATGTATTCATCCAGCAGATATTTATTGAGCACAGTGGGTGTGCCAACCATGATTCTAGGTGTTTGGGTCCCAAGGGAGCCACATGGCCCATGCCTCCCCTCTGGGGCATGCATTCTGGCAGTCTCCTGGTTACCCATCAGAGCACACCGCAGCTCTGCAGTGTGCCCCAGGGGGACGGGATCTGGGCTCAGTCCATTTACGTCCTTTACACAAGTGTCATCCCTCTCACTGTTAATCATCAGCTAACAAGGTCTGCAGAATGCAGCACACGCAAACAAGAGGCACCTGCTGGGGTGCCTGGTTTATGAAGATAGCTGTCCCTGGGCCCACCCTCACCCAAGAGCAGGAGTACAGCCATTGGCCCTTCCTCTCCTCCACCTCTCCAATGGACAGCTCCCACGGGCAGGTCAGAAACGCATTCCGAAATATGTTTCCTCTTTTCCTGCCTTCTCCTGACCTCATTTTTTTTTTTTTAAGACGGAGTCTTGCTCTTTCACCCAGGCTGGAGTGCACTGATGTGATCTTGGCTCACTGAAGCCTCTGACTCCCAGGTTCTAAGTGATTCTCTTGCCTTAGTCTCCCAAGTAGCTGAGATTACAGGCACCTGCCACCATGCCTGGCTAATTTTTGTATTTTTAGTAGAGACAGGGTTTCACCATGTTGGCCAGGCTGGTCTCGAACTCTTGACCCCAGGTGATCCACCCCCCCCCCTCGGCCTCCCAAAGTGCTGGAATTACAGGTGTGAGCCACCGCACCCAGCCTGACCTCACATTTTCTTCCAGTTGTCACCTGTTTCTTTGGCCCCTTTACAGGAGAATTCCTCAAAAGAATCTTCCATACTCACCACCTCCAATTCCTCTGTTCTCATTCTCCCTTGAACCTGCTCCAAGTAGGTTCTTGTCCCCTCCACCCCACCGAAGCTCTTCCTGACAAAGTTGCCAATAATTCCCATGTTGCTAGTATCCAGTCAAACCGCAGGCTCATCCCACCTGACTCAGCAGCTGTGTTTGACACATGGATCCCTCCTTCCTCTCAAAGTGCTTGCTTTCCTCAGCCTCCCTCCCTGGCTGTTCCTCCCCACCAACCACTGACTGCCGGAGGCCCCCAGGAATCAGTCCATGACCCTCTTTTCCATCTAAAAGAATCCATTCATTCTCCTGGTGTGCACTCATGAAAGACCACCTGTGTGCTGATAATGATGGACTTTTAGTGTCAGCCATGACCTTTCCAAATCCAACAGGAACATTATTTACTGTTGTACCCCCATTACTCTGAATGCACGAGTGAATGAATGATTTCATAAATGACTGCCTCCACTCTCACTTATCTACCCATACAGGAAGAATCTGCTTTTTATTTTATTTTTATTTTACTTTTTTGGATGGAGTCTTGCTCTGTCACTCAGGCTGGAGTGCAGTGGTGCAATCGTGGCTCACTGCAACCTTCACCTCCCAGGTTCAAGCAATCCTCCTGCCTCAGCCTCCCAAGTAGCTGGGGCTGTAGGTGCACACCATCACTCCTGGCTAATTTTTTTTTTTTTAATTGGGATGGCAATCTTGTCATGTTGCCCAGGCCAGTCTCGAACTCATGGGCTCAGGAGATTCTCCTGCCTCAGCCTCCCAAAGTGCTAGGATTACAGGCATAAGCCACTGCACCCAGCAGAATCTGTTTTTGAAAAAGGGGAGAGGGCCAGGTGCAGTGGCTCACACCTGTAATTCCAGCACTTCAGGAAGCTGAGGCAGGAGAATCGCTGAGCCTGTGAGTTCAAGATCAGCCTGGGCAACATGCCAAGACCCTCATCTCTACAAAAAAAAAAACAGCTGGTGTGGTAGCAGTTGTGTGTAGTCAGAGCTACCTGGGGTCTGAGGCAGGAGGATTGCTTGAACCTGAAAGTCATGGTTACAGTGAGCTAAGATCATGCCACTGCACTCCAGTCTGGGTGAAAAGTGAGGACCTGTCTCAAAATAAAAGTAAAAGCAAATAAAATAAAAAGGGGGAGAGGGCCAGACACAGTGGCTCATGCCTATAAAAATCTCAACAGTTTGAGAAGCCAAGGTGGTTGGATCACTTGAGCCCAGGAGTTTGAGACCAGCCTGGGAAACATGGCAAGACCCCGTCTCTACAAAAAATGGAAAACTTAGCTGAGTGTGGTGGTGCACACCTGTAGTCTTACCTACTCAGGAGGCTGAGGTGGGAGGCTGGTTTGCACCCAGGAGGTCGAGGCTGCAGTGAGCTGTGATCGTGCCACTGTGCTCCAGCCTGGGCAACAGTGAGACCTGTCTCCAATAAATAAATAATGTAGAGAGGGATTGGAGAACAGCAAGGATTTCATGGTAACAAGATGTCCTAACTGCCATTCACATATGCCAGTGGGGACTCTTTTATTAGCTCTTTCTCATTTTATGGGCTTCCTCCAAGGAAACGAGAAATTGAAAAGCCGGTAACATGCAGAAATCTCATTAGCCAGCAGGGGGCGCCAAATGACCTCCAATTCTGCACGTGGGCCAGGCCGGCTGGCCACCCTGGCTAGCCTCAGTCCTGGAACTAGTGTAAGAATCTTCCATATTTCGCTGAGAAGCGTTAACACCCACTGCATAAGAGGTGATTGAAAACACCATAAAACGTTGGTTGTGTTCCCAGCCTAAAACCTGTAGCCACGAGGAATCTTAGGAAATTGGCCAAGTATGTGGGTGAAACTCTTAGAGCCTGCACCCCTCACGTTGACCCCAGGAAGTGCGTGTCCTTAACCTCACTGAATGTACAACAAAACTGCAGCTCCCAGAAGTCACCTGGCCAGTCCCACTGCTGTACACGGTGCAGCTGGGATTCAGCCCCCTGCTCCTGCCGTCTTGGCCGTCTTCCTCTGAGCCAGCCTCATTCCTGTTAACCAGTAGCTACTAATGCAGCGGGCCTGGGGTGGCCCTGAGACCCTGCATCCGTCACCAGCCCCGGTGACCTGAGGCCACCAGCACGTGCATCACACTCTGTCTGGGTAGACTCCACACTGCCTCATCTCCCCAGCTCAGCTTCCCACAGGATGGATTTGCTTTATTTCTCCAGGAACTGTGCTAAGCACTGATATGCCAGTGCTGTGCTAAACGCCCGGCATGACAGGAAACAAAGACACCTGGGGCCATGCCCCGGAATTTACTGTTCTGCAGAGACCAGGGTCTTGGCAGTGAAAAGGAAAGTTCCAGAAAGGTTTTTAAAACAGTTCTTGGCCGGGCACAGTGGCTCACCTCTGTAATCCCAGCACTTTGGGAGGTGAGGCAGGTGGATCGCCTGAGCTCAGGAGTTTGAGACCAGCTTGACCAATATGGTGAAACCCCATCTCTAATAAAAATTTTTTTTAAATTTAGCTGGATGTAGTGGCGGGTGCCTGTAGTCCCAGCTACTCAGGAGGTTGAGACAGGAGAATCAACTCAACCCAGGAGGCAGAGGTTGCAGTGAGCTGAGATCGCACCATTGCACTCTTGCCTGGGCACTCTCGTCTGAACGAGAGGTCCATCTAAAAAAAGAAAAAAAAAAAAAAGCACAGTTCTTAAAGACCTTTTTGGGGGGGATGGAGTTTTGCTCTGTCACCCAGACTGGAATACAGTGGCATGACCTTGGCTCACTGCAACCTTCACCTCCCAATTTCAAGTGATTCTCGTGCCTCAATTTCACAAGTAGCTGAGATTACAGGCACCCGCCACCATTCCCAGCTAATTTTTTTGGGTTTTTTTTGTTTTTTTTGTTTTTTTTTTTGAGATGGAGTTTCGCTCTTGTTACCCAGGCTGGAGTGCAATGGCGCGATCTCGGCTCACCGCAACCTCCGCCTCCTGGGTTCAGGCAATTCTCCTGCCTCAGCCTCCCGAGTAGCTGGGATTACAGGCACGCGCCACCATGCCCGGCTAATTTTTTGTACTATTAGTAGAAACGGGGTTTCACCATGTTGACCAGGATGGTCTCGATCTCCTGACCTCATGATCCACCCGCCTCGGCCTCCCAAAGTGCTGGGATTACAGGCTTGAGCCACCGCACCCGGCCATTTTTTTGTATTTTTAGTAGAGACAGGGTTTCACCATATTAGCCAGGCTGGTCACGAACTCCTGACCTTGTGATCCACCCTCCTCAGCCTCCCAAAGTGCTGGGATTATGGACATGAGTCACCATACCCAGCTGGTCAGGCTGGTCTTAAACTCTTGACCTCAAGTGATCCGCCTGCCTCAGCCTCCCACAGTGCTGGGATTACAGGTGTGAGCCGCAGCGCCCAGCTGTGACTCACAGCAATGAAGGTGTCTCTTAGACTCCAGGTCTGCAGGGGCAGGAGGGACACTCAGTGCCCCTGTCTCCCTCACCCCTACGGTCTTCTGTCCCCACAGATTTATTTCTGGGAAGCCCAGCGGCAGAACCTCACAGAGCGGGTGAAGACGCTTTTCCTGGCTGAGAACAGTGTGAAGCTCAAGAACTTGACCGGTTACACTGCCTACATGGTCAGCGTGGCTGCCTTTAACGCCGCTGGGGATGGGCCTCGGAGCACCCCCACCCAAGGGCAGACCCAGCAAGCAGGTGGGAGAGGGGGCCCCAAGGATGGGTGGGTCGGTCATGGCTGGGGGCATGGGGAAGGGGTTTGCAAGAGGGCCCACCCATCATCTGGGCTCTTGGGAGGTGTTGACGCAGCTGCCTTATCCTATCCCCCTGAGGATCTGGAAGTGGTGCCCAGGTCCCTGGAGACACCCTCCCGAGTGGGAGAGCCCATGCTCAGAAAAAAGAAACTGTCCCCATAAGCCCTGAGAAAGCCCACATCTCATGCCTGTCCTCCCCACCCTCCACCCTGCCTTACAGATGGACATCAGTACCCCAGCCCCTCCCAGCCAGCCTACTTCCACTCCCTGCCTTCTTTCACCTGCCTTTCCTCTGTCTCTCTGGCTTTGTTCATTCCACAAATACTGAGTGTCTTTTATGAGCCTACTCCGTGCTAGATGCTACGGACACAATGGTGAGACCAACAAGCCAGCAAGGTCCCTGCCCTAGTGCAGCAGACAGGTCATAAGCAAGTTGATCTAAATACAGACGGGGGTCAGGACAGGTGATCTAAGGGGTGAAGGAGTGGGTGGATGACTCTGGATAGGTTCCTCCCAGAAGGCCTCCCTGAGAAGGTAAGATTTGAATGAGAAGAGGCCAGCAGGGACTGGGCACAGTGGCTCACGCCTGTAATCCCAGCACTTTGGGAGGCCAAGATGAGAGGATCCCTTGAGGCCAGAAGTTCGGGAGCAGGCTGGGCAACATAATGAGACCCTGTCTCTATTAAAAATACAAAAAATTAGCCAGGCGTAGTGGTGGGTGCCTGTAATCCCAGCTACTCTGGAGGCTGAGGCAGGAGAATCACTTGAACCCAGAAGACAGAGGTTTCAGTGAGCGGAGATCGCGCCACTGTACTCCAGCCTGGTAACAAAGCGAGACTCTATGTCAAAAAAAAAAAAAAGAGAGAGAGAGAAGAGGCTAGCCATGGGTTGTCAGGAGGTGGCAGAGCATGTTGGGGGTTCCAGGCAGAGGGAATAGCGGGTGCTAAGGCCTGGAGGCTGGAGAGGAACCAGGGAACACAGAGAAAGCCAGGTGGCTTGCAAGAAAATGGGGTGAGAGCTCGGCTGGGGGATTGGGATTGGGGTTAACTATAGTAAGAACAATGGGCCGAGAGTGGTGGCTCACCCCTGTAACCCTAGCACTTTGGGAGGCTGAGGTGGGCAAATCACTTGAGGTCAGGAGTTCGAGACCAGCCTGGCCAACGTGGCAAAACTCGGTTTCTACTAAAATACAAAAATCAGCTGGGCGTGGTGGTGCACACCTCTAATCCCAGCTACTCAGGAGGCTGAGGAAGGAGAATAGCTTGAACCCAGGAGGTGTAGGTTGCAGTAAGCTGAGATTGTGCCACTGCACTCCAGCCTTGGTGACAAAACAAGCATCTGTCTAAACAAATAAAAAATAAAACACAATGGGAAGCCATGGGAGAGCTGGAGCAACTGAGCAACAGGGTCTGGTTTATATTTTGAGAAAAGTGCTCTGGCTGCTGGTGGAAGATGGCCTGGCAGAGCGGAGAGAGTAGAGGCGGGGAGGGGAGATCAGGAGGCTGAAGGGTAGCGAGTGCAGAGGAGAGGGTGCTGGGGAGAATCCGTCTGCCTGTGTGCAGAGCGAGCCTGGTGGTGTGTGTCCGGCACTCCACTCAGGCACTGTCGCACTTGAGCCTCCCAGAAGCCCTGGGGATGTTGGGGGCAGGTGGAACCCTCATTTCCTGATGAACCAGGGTCACCCAGGAAAGTACGCTACCTGTCCAGGGTTGCCCAGCTGGTCACTGGGGGAGCAGAGGCTGGAACCCAGGATTTCTGAGAGAGCCAAGCATTCCGTCCTGCTGGACTGGAATACTGGCCCTTTTGTCCCGGCCTCCTCTGAGCATCTTGTTCAACCTGCTGCTTCCTATGCTGTTGGTGACATGTGGCTTTTAAAGAGCTGCAGAGGGACCAGGAGCAGTGGCTCATGCCTTTGGGAGCCACCAAATCCCAGCACTTTGGGAGGCCAAGGCGGGCAGATCACAAAATCAGGAGTTCGAGACCAGCCTGGCCAATATGGTGAAACCCAGTCTCTACTAAAAATACAAAAATTAGCTGGGGTGCTGATGCACACCTGTAATCCCAGCTACTCATGAGGCTGAGGCAGAGAATTGCTTGAACCCGGGAGGCGGAGGTTTCAGTGAGCTGTGATCGCACCACTGCACTCCAGCCTGGGCGACAGAGCGAGACTCCGTCTATAAACAAAAAAGCTGCAGAGGGCACACCTGTGGAGTCAGTTCCTTACCACAACCCTCTCTGGGGGCAAGCCTTTGCCTCCACTGCCCCGGGTTCTGGCCGGGCCAGGCTGACCATGGGCTGCTGAATATGCAAGTCTCTCCGTCCACCCCGGCCTGTCCCGGCCACTCTCCTGTCAGTGTCATCTGCCGGATGCGAGCCCCAGGGAACCCGAGGCTTCCGTCACTGCAGCAACAGGACAACTTGTTCTGTCCCACGTCCCCGAAGCAGAGGGGAGACAGGAAGGGCCCCCTGAGCTCACCTCCCTCCTTCAAAGTCACTCGCTGACTCTGCCTCCAGGGGCTGCAGCCGGAAGCGGGTCGGATTAGCTCAGGCTTGGTGGGGAGGCAGCGCAAGGCAATAATAGCCTGGTCTTCCTCCCAGGCCAGCTGGGGACGCCATGGATTGGGGCGCTTCCTGCCTTTCCTCTGTCCTCCCCCTCAGAGGAGCCCCCGCCCCTGTGTTTTCAGGATCACTGCAGGGATCTCAGTCCAAGGAAACGTTTCTCCCAGAGGGTCTGACAGTCCTTGGCATGGCTCCTTCTGACTGCATGGGGGCTCTGTAACAATCCCTGGAGCCCCGGGAGGAGAGGAAGGCCACGGTCATCTGCTGGGGTTCTGGCGTCTTCTTTGTTTAGTGCCCACCGAATGTTCTGAGGCCCAGATACCCCCTACCTTCTCCTCCAGGGAAGCCAAAAGATGAGCCCCACAAAGCCAGGAAATGGCCTTGCCCCACGATGACCCTGGGGGTGTCACGGCTTGTCCCTTGCTCAGAGCCAGGGCTCAGAGCCACTTAGCAGGGAGAAGCCTGAATTCTGCAATTTGAGGGAAAAATAGAGTTCTCTTTCTCCCCAGTTCTTAGGACTCTGATACTGCAAAGTTGAGAAAGGAGAGGAAGGGGCCCGATGACCTCCAGTGACCCCTCCTGCTCGCCCCTTCTGCCGAGCCCTGCTCGCTTTTTCCTCCAGGGCTCAGACCCAACACTCCCGCTAGCTCCTTGGAGCTGAACCCAGGGCTCTGAACTTCCACAGAAGAAGGAAACAAAAGCCCTTTCCTGTCTCCTGCAGCCCCCAGCGCTCCCAGCTCGGTCCAGTTCAGCGAGCTGACCACAACCTCCGTGAACGTGTCCTGGGAAGCTCCGCAGTTCCCCAACGGCATCCTGGAGGGCTATCGGCTGGTATACGAGCCCTGCAGCCCCGTGGACGGTGAGTGGACCTCCCAGCACCTCCCCAGCCCCTTCACTTTGCAAGAGCTCACTTACATCTTGGTGCCCATTACAGCCACTACACATGAGTGAGATTCAGTGCAAGTCTGTTCGTCTTATAAACATGGAAACTGAGTCCCAGTCACGGGAAAGGGCATTTCCAAGGTAAAATGACAGCAAGTGGAGGGCAGGGTTGGAAGAAAGCTCCAGGTCTCCGACTTCCAGGCAGAGAATTGTTAAGTATATTCCTCCTACCGCTGGAAAAAGAAAGGAAAGGAAGGGAAACCTGAGCAGATAGGGCTCTGTTGAGACCATAAAGAAAGGGAGCAGCCAGGGGTGGTGGCTCACACCTGTAATCCCAGCACTTTGGGAGGCCAAAGCGGGAGGATCACTTGAGGTCAGGAGTTCGAGACCAGCCTGGCCAACATGGCAAAACCCCGTCTTTACTAAAAATACAAAAATTAGCCGGGCATGGTGGCAGATGCCTGTAGTCCCAGCTACTCGGGAGACTGAGGCAGGAGAATTGCTTGAACCCAGGAGGCAGAGGTTGCAGTGAGCTGAGATTGTGCCACTGCACTCCAGCCTGGACAACAGAGCGAAAATCCATCTCAAAAAAAAAAAAAAAGAAAAGAAAAGGGGAGCCCCTGAGGGTCCTACCTTTGCCCTTTCCCAAACCTTAGGGTTTTCAGCATTACTGTGGGTTAGTCCTTCTTCAGTTTTTGTGGGAGTCGGGAACCCCTTTGAGACTCTGATGAGAATGAAAGCTTCAGAGCCTCTCCCCAGAAAGATGCACAAGACCGGGGATGTCCCTGCACCCTCACTGCCATCTGTGGACCCCAGATCAAGAGCCCTGCTCTGCAAATGACCTCGCTCTTGTCCTACGCCTGATCTTAGCCAAAGGGCCAAGAAGCAATGCTCTTATCCTTAACCCTGTTCATCTGAGTGGTCTTTGACTCCTTCATCCGGGCCCCAGCTGGGACCCTGCCCCTTTTCTGGGCTCCTGGGATGGGCTGCACAGCCCCTTACAATGGACATCTGGCACCTGCCAGCTCTCTACCCCCGGCAACATGCCAAGAAATCACTGCCATTTTGTTACCAAGAAGCATCCTACAAGGACGGGATTGAGGCGGGAAGGGGACTGTGCTCCTCCCAACCCCCTCAACCACAGATCCTGGCTAGAACAAGGGATGGAGCCCTGGAAATGTTGCTGTGAGCAGCAGTTCTGGGTCAGCCGAGGGAACAATGGCCCTCAGTCTTCCCTGCCACCACCTGGGTGCCAGCAGCTCCTTCTGCAAAGTGGAGCTGTGTTAGAACATCAAGGGGAAGCTGGGCCCCAGCAGGAGATCTGGTCAGGTGCAGAACCAGAGCAGGGCAGAGGACAACAGTCCCCAGGGTAAGGTACAGGGGGCGGGGGGCCAGCACAAGACCTTTTTTTTTTTTTTTTTTTGAGGCAAGTTTCCCTGCGTCGCCTAGGCTGGGGTACAGCAGTGTGATCTCAGCTCATTGCAACCTCCACCTCGTGGGTTCAAGCGATTCTCCTGCCTCAGCCTCCCAAGTAGCTAGGAATACAGGTGCGTGCCACCACACCCGGCTAATTTTTTTGTAATTCTAGTAGAGATGGGGTTTCACCATGCTTGTCAGGAAGGTCTCAACCTCCTGACCTCATGATCTGCCCACCTCGGCCTCCCAAAGCGCTTGGATTATAGGTGTGCAGCACTGTGCCCAGCCCACAAGCCCTTTTCACAGGGACCGCAACCCGACCTGTCCAGGACCCTCTCAGGTTGACAGATGTGAGCTGTTTCCCTTCCAGGTCCACAGTCCAGTAGGATCTGGACTGTGTGGCTCAACTCCCTGCCCCTACATGTTCCCATCTTCCCATCATACCCCAGTTAATAAGTTCAGCAAGACCAGGCCCCGCCTGGCCAGCCCAGTGTCCACGCTGCAGTTCATCCTGGGTTCGTGTCAGCAGCAAACCAGCCTCGCAAGAACCCAGCAGCCTCCATGGCCATGCAGGGAAAACCAAGGCCCAGGCAGATGAGGGCTTTTTTCAGAATTGTCAAGGAGCAGGTAGCCAGAGTCCCTGTTCCTGGTCCTGGGGGTCATTTCATTCTTTCAGGAAGCCCCTCTGAGCCAACACTGTTCCATCATTCAATAATCTACTTAATGGCGGGTGCAGTGGTTCACACTAGCACTTTGGGAGGCCGAGGCAGTAGATCACCTGAGGTCAGGAGTTCGAGACCTGCCCCGTCTCTACTAAAAATACAAAATTAGCTGGGCATGGTGGTGGGCGCCTGTAATCCCAGCTACTCAGGAGACTGAGGCAGGAGAATCACTTGAACCCAGGAGGCAGAGGTTACAGTGAGCCAAGATCGTGTCATTGCACTCCAGCCTGGGCAATAAGAGAAACTCCGTCTCAAAATAATAATGATAATCCACTTAATGAATAAGTATATCAGGCACCTCCGTGCTCTGTTATTTTACTTAAACCTCATAACGTCCCTGCCTAAAATGCTGTGGACACCATCACCTGGTTAAGCCAGGTTAAGGGACATGCCAGGGCCAGCCGTCACTGGGTCTGAGCCCAGCCCACTGGCTGCAAGGCCTGTCTCTCAGTGGTGACTGGAGTGCTTGATGGAGATTGGAAATGACACTAATCCAGCTCTCAGGCAGTCAGGAGTGTTTGGATTTGTGAAACAGAGTACAAACTCCCACCTCCTGAAAGCTAGCCCAAGCCTCCCCTCTAGCTGCTGTGATTTGGGGTGCTGAGACATCCTCACTTTTGCCCTAAAAAGCTTGGTGGACTGGGCACAGTGGTTCACACCTATAATCCCAGCACTTTGAGAGGCCAAGATGAGAGGATCACTTGAGGCCAGGAGTTCGGGAGCAGGCTGGGCAACATAATGAGACCCCGTCTAGGCAAAAGTTTAAAAATTAGCCAGGCATGATGGTACACACCTATGGTCTCAGCTACTTGGAAGGCTGAAAGTGGGAGGATGGCTTGAACCCTGGAGGTTGAGGTACAGTGAGCCATGATTGTGCCAGTGCACTACAGCCTAGGCAATAGAGCAAGACCTTGTCTTTAAAAATATATAAAAATAGTGGCAGATACAGGTGATGGAGGGCAATGGGAGTTCCTGGCTGAACCGCAGAGGTGGAGCTGGCGTGGGGCTCAGGCGTAGGACCTGGTCAAAAGTATGTCCCCCAACTCTGCACTTTTGGTATTTTCATGGAAGCACTGCCTGAAAAAGTATATAATTCTAGTCTCATGGGATGCTGCATAGGGGAATAAAAATGGAGGTGAAACGACTGGACGTGGTGGCTCATGCCCATAATCCCAGCACTTTGGGAGTACAAGGTGGGCGGATCACGAGGTCAGGAGTTTGAGACCATCATGACCAACATGGTGAAACCCCTGGCCTACTGAAAATAGAAAAATTAGCTGGGAGTGGTGGCACGTGCCTGTAATCCCAGCTACTCAGAAGGCTGAGGCAGGAGAATCGCTTGAGCCCTGGAGGCAGAGGTTGCAGTGAGCTGAGACCATGCCACTGCCCTCCACCCTGGCGACAGAGCAAGATTTCATTTAAAAAAACAAAACAAAAGCAAATGGAGGTGAAACGTATTTGGGGTCCAGAGATTACAATCAACAGGATGGTGCGTGTTCTCTCTTCTTCAGAGCTGACGGACCCCGCGGCTACTCAGTAGACACAGACCGTTGCAGCTTTTCTCACACTTAGTGAACCATGGGCCCTTCTCCCTGAGAATAGCCGGCAGGACAGTGCTCTGAGTACCACAGCATGGGCCATGTGGCTGTGTGGGCTGGGAGACGTTTTAGGCTGACCTCCAGGGGTGAGGCCCCTGCCCAGGGTTCCAGGACCCAAGCCACCACCGCTTCCCCTTCCCCTTCCCTGTGGCCTCTGGTGGTGCCTCAGTGGGCCCTGTGCTTGATGGCCCCTGCAGTCCCCATGTGCTATGCCTCCCCTAGGAGTCAGCAAGATCGTGACAGTGGACGTGAAGGGGAACAGCCCCCTGTGGTTGAAGGTGAAGGACCTGGCGGAGGGGGTGACCTACCGGTTCCGCATCAGAGCCAAGACCTTCACCTACGGGCCGGAGATCGAAGCCAACGTCACCACGGGCCCCGGAGAAGGTAGGAGAGCAATGGGCCAAGCACGACCTGCATACAGCGGTTCAGCCCCCTAGTCAGAAGGGTCCCCAGTGTCAAGACCTGTGCTGGACCCTGAAGACAGAGAGTGGAGGGCAGAGCTCACTCTTTCCCCTGGTGCCCAGTGCCCCTTCCCTCCGCCCTCTCCTCCCGCCTTCCACACTTTGGTTAATGGCATCAGTGTCCTCTGTTCCTCAAGCCACAAACCCTGGAGCAGGGTCCCCTCTTAGGCCCAGTGCACAGGCCTGGCCCCTCCCCTCCCACTTAGGCCCAACCCACAAGCTTGGCCTGACTGCTCCACCTTCTCCGCTCAGTTCTTTCCCTCCCCGCCAATTGCGCGTCCTCCTTCACTTCCGTCCTGGGAGCTTGAGCTTGGCAGGTGCCCCTGCCTTTCACCCAGCCAGAGCCATCTTCCCACGCCCCCGAACCACTCCTACCCCCAGAGCAGGGTGTGCGGACATGCATATTCCCAGAGTGGGTGCTCGGAGGGATTGATTTCCTGGGGCCGAGGTGGGACCTGGCAATCTGCACTTTCACAAAAGCCCCTGTAGGCCATGATAAAGTGGCGTCTTGGCCGGGCGCCGTGGCACAAGCCTGTAATCCCAGCACTTTGGGAGGCTGAGGCGGGTGGATCACCAGGTCAAGAGATCGAGACCATCCTAGTCAACATGGTGAAACCCCGTTTCTACTAAAATTCCAAAAATATTAGCTGGTCATGGTGGCACGTGCCTGTAATCCCAGCTACTCAGGAGGCTGAGGCAGGAGAATTGCCTGAACCCAGGAGGCGGAGGTTGCGGTGAGCCAAGATTGTGCCATTGCACTCCAGCCTGGGTAACAAGAGCGAAACTCGGTCTCAAAAAAAAAAAACAAAGTGGCGTCTTGAGAAACATGGAGGGGTTCACTTATTCAGAGCCAGGGCCCTGCCTCCTGCCTCCCCACCCACCTGCTCTGCAAAATGCCCTTAGTGTTTAACTGACCCACCCAGGAAGTCTTCCCTCACCTCCTTTATTGTTTTTGTATTCGTTGTTGTTGTTTGGGGGTGTTTTTTGTTTGTTTTTTTGAAACAGAGTCTCACTGTGTCACCCAGGTTGGAGTACAGTGGCACAATCTTGGCTCACTGCAACCTCCACCTCCCAGGTTCAAGCAATTCTCCTGCCTCAGCCTCCCAAGTAGCTGGGACTGGAGGCTTGTGCTACCACACCCAGCTAATTTTTTTGTATTTTGAGCAAACACAGGGTTTCACCACATTGGCCAGGCTGATCTTGATCTCCTGTGTCCTTGTGATCTGCCTGCCTCGGCCTCGAAAAGTGCTGGGATTACAGGCGTGAGCCGCTGCACCCAAACTTTTTTTTTTTTTTGAAACACGGTCTTGCTCCGTCGCCCAGGCTGGAGTACAGTGATGCAATCTCAGCTCACTGCAACCTCCGCCTCCCGAGTTCAAGCAGTTCTCATGCTTCAGCCTCCCAAGTAGCTGGGATTACAGGTGATTTCAATCACGATTGGCTAATTTTTGTATTTTTAGTAGAGACAGGGTTTGGCCAGGCTGGTCTCCAGCTCCTGATCTCAAGTAATCCACCCGCCTCAGTCTCCCAAAGTGCTGAGATTACAGGCATGGGCCACCCGCCCAGTCGCCTCCTTTAAATGTCCTCTTCACCTCCCTTTCTCTCCCACCCCTGCTCCCCCAGGCATCTGCCATGGTCAAGGTTTAGCTCTCCAAAGTCCCGGTTACAGTCAGTCAGTGTAGGGTGTCCTGTCCTGAAAACAAAAGCCATGTCTCAGGCCACTCTGATGCCTCTGTCCCTATGAAGGGGTATAGCCCATCCCAGACTTCCCCTAAAATCCCATCTCCTCCACTCTGCCCTTTCAGCCAGGAGTGTTGAAGGCCTCCCCTCCCCAGCAGCCCTGATTGCCTGCCCCAGGAGCCAGGCCTGGGACCCCAGCCCCTTCTCTCATCTGCCACCTGCCCTACAGGAGGCCATCTTCCCCTAATGGCTCAGGCTGGCCACGCATCACTTTTTTTTCTGGCTGGTCACTTTCTATTTCCCACAGTCTGGTTATGCAAAGAAGCCCTGTGTCTCTAGGGCAAACTCAGGACAAAGCCTGCAGCAAGAAAACTGGGAGCCCTCTGCCGCCACTGCCCTGCACCTACCCCCAGCCCCACCCTGCACCTGCCCCCAGCCCCGTGCTGCGCTGCCTCTCACCTGAGGCGGCTTCCTGGGAAACAAGAGCAGGAGACCGAGCTGGCAGGCAGCTGAGGACCAAGCTTTGGCAGTGGCCTGGGGACAGGAGAGGGCTGTGCAGAGGACAGGCTGTTCTATCCTGAGACTTAAAGTGTCCCAGCCAGGGAGGTGGGGGTGGAAGGAGAGAGAGGGCAGGGGGTACAGAAAAGGTAGGGGAGGGCACTCAGAAAGAACCGGCAGGATGCGGTGGTTCACGCCTATAATCCCAGCATTTTGGGAGGTGGAGGCAGGTGGATTGCCTGATCCCAGGAGGTCAAGACCAGCCTGGGCAACATAGCAAAACCCCATCTCTACAAAAATAAAATTAGCCAGGCATGCTGGTGAATACCTGAAGTCCCAGCTACTCAGGAGGCTATGGTGGGAGGATCATTTGAGCCCAGGAGGTGAGGCTGCAGTGAGATCTGATTGTGCCACTGCACTCCAGCCTGACCAACAGAGTGAGAACATGTCTCAAAAAAAAAAGAGAGAAAGAAAGATCCCATCCTCCCTACTTGATGTGGGTGTGTGGGGTCTGTTGGGGGAGAATGTGCAGCCAGGCAGTGGCCCCAGAGGAGGTGTAGGCTCCATCTTCAGCCCTGAGTACTGCCCTGTGCAGGAAGAGAGTGCAGGATCTGAGGGCTGCCCACCCCACCATACTCCCTTGGGCGTGTCCACCCCACCTAACCCCTCAGCTGCTCTGACCTTGTGCTGCAGATAGGCTATTCCTTAGGGAAGGAAGGAAATGGGGCCCTCCAAGGCCATGGGGTGGGCATAGGAGCTGGACAGGGCTGCCAGGTCGTGAGCAGGTCCCTGGACTCCTGCCTGGCCTGCTGGCTCTCCAGAGCCCTGGGGGGCATCAGTGTGAGGCTGGACTCTGTTGTCTTCCTGGCAGGCATCCACAGAGACCCCCATGCCCCCTACCCACCAGCCAGGTGGCCACCCACTCATGCCCTGGCTCCCTCCCTCATTCCCTGAACACCTACTGTATACTCAGCTCTGGGGTGCAGAGCCCCTTCTCTGGTGGGGAATAGGCTTAGAGGTGATAGCATGTGAGGTCAGGATTCTGGACAGGCACCCCCAAGAGGAGAAGGGGCTCAGAGCCCCTTGTAGACAGACACCTGCTCACTCCTCTCACTGCAGAAGTCACCTCCTCTCTCCTGCTTCAACTCCTAGGGCCGGCTCCCTGGCTGGCCCACATCCCAGGCTGCTCCTGATGTACCTTCATGCCAGGAGAGTGGCAAGGGCCCCAGTCCTTCCTCCCTCCTCCCAGCAGCAGAGGTTCCAAGGCTTCTGGGGGCCTGAACTCCTCTCCCCTTGTCTAACCTAATAGCAAATGCAATTGGGGTTGGGGGATTTCAGGCAGGAGGGAGGGAGGGCAGACATCCTATCACATGCCAGGAGGGCAATATTGTGAACCCTTCAACCTCACTCTGACCAATCCCTCCCCTCATGGGCCCATTCTGCCATCATCGCACCCACTTCTGTTGCCCCCTGCCCCCATCTAAGACACAGCCTTCAAGCCTTACCTTCCAAAATGCCCTTACAGAGGGGGAAACTGAGGCACTGCAAGGCTATGTGGATTGATTAAAGTCACCCATCTAACAAGTTCTGGGCTGGAACCCAGGTCTCCTGACTCTACTCCAGGGAACTTTCTGGACCATTCCATTTGTCTTCTGCCCTGGGATTTGGAGTGTGAAGTGTAGGGGTGACCCGGAGGGGACAAGAGTCCATCCTGGCAGGCCCAGGCTGAGATGCATTCTCAGGCCTCGACATCTGCAGGGCTTCCTGGTGGCTCTCCGTCCAGGGCTGATTTTGCTGCCCAGTGCTTCTCCTTGAGCCCCAGGTGATGGGCTGGGTGGCTGTTCTGGATTCTGTACATCCCTTGCCTCTGTGCTGTTTGCAGGTGCTCCAGGACCACCTGGCGTGCCCATCATTGTGCGGTACAGCTCCGCCATCGCCATCCACTGGTCCAGCGGAGACCCGGGCAAAGGGCCCATCACTCGCTACGTCATCGAGGCGAGGCCTTCAGGTGCGCCCTGCCCTGCTGGGCTGAAACCCCAGACCCACTGTCTCCCCTCCTTCCTGGGTCCCTCCACTCGGGGTGTTTTTGTCTGTCCTCCCGCCTGAGAAGGCGCTTGTGCTACTGCAGGTGAAGTCACCTGGCCCTGTTGGGGAGTGAGAGAAGGGGTGGGAGGGCTCCTAGAGCTGGTTTCTGGCTAAGTAACCCCCAGGAGGCCCCCAGATAACGGTTCTTAGTGCTAGCTGAGGACCAACTTGGGTCAAGGAACCCTCAGGAAGCCAGAGGCCCAAGCATGTGGCTCACGTGGGTCAAATACTGAATCCTCCACGTGACCCCACTGATGGGTGCCCCATAATTAAGGAGACCCCAGCTGCCTCTCGAAGCCCTGCCTCTGCCATCGTGGCTGTCTCTGCAGCTGCTGTAAACATACCAGCCTCTCCTGTCAAGCCTGAAATTGAATCACAAGAACTTCCAGAGCCATCAGGAGATGCATGACGGATAACTCATTCCGGGGGGCTGCTCTCCACTGCTCCGGTTTCACTCGTCCTGACACCCGCTTGCCAGGCTCTGCTTACTCGCAGGAGCCCACAGCCACTGCCAGCTCCTGCCATTGCTAGGTTTCCAAGTTAATCAGAGGTGCCAGAGTCAGCAAGAGCAAGAAGCCTGCCCTCTGTATCCCATGGATCCGCAGTTAGGTGATTGAAATTGAGAAGGAAAAGAAGACTGTTGTTCTAGCCCAAATAGCAAATAGCAATCATGATGAGACATCATCAGGCATCACAGTGGCTAGTACTTCTAATGGGGAATATGGATGGAAACAGCACAGTGACAAGTTGTTAATACATCGAGGGAGCCGGGCACTAATCATCCCAATAGCAAACAGTTAATAATTCTAGTTGCTCCTGGAAGCCATGACCACCCGCACCTGCCTTAATCACATGCTAATAATCACAGGTTCATATAGCAAATACATCTAGCTGCTCAGATCCATCATGTGGCCAGAGGCTGCACATGGGGCTGGCTCTCTCCTTACTCCAGATGGTCCGTCCCTGGCCCTCTGGTGCCAGCTGCTGAGTTGGCCTGGAGACCACTACGTGCTTCTCTCAACCAGGGCCTGCAACTGTTTATTCCACCCAAGTTGGCCAGCTGGGGTGCCAGGCTGTGGAATGTTGGCCCAGGACTCTGGTCCTGCTGATTCTCCAGTGTTTCCTGGGAGGCCCAGTGTGAGACTCCGGTGTTCCAATTTTGCAGGCTGTGACTTGGTCCACACCGGTGGAATCAAGGCCTGAAAGTAAAAGGAAGGACCAAGCCAGGCCCCCATGAGAAACCAGGACTCAGAGCAGGGCCAGGGCCAGAAAGCAGAGGATAGGATCAGTAGCCAGCAAGGGGAGTAGCAGGGTAGAGGGGGCGAGGGGCAAGGTGGCCTGTCCCTAAGGCTGTTTGAGAGCAGGCTGCTGTGAGGAGGTGAGCCTCTCTCCTCTTCATGTCCCCTGCTACTTCTTCTGTGCCCCCTTCTCATCTTCAGGATGGCATAGCCCTTGTCTTACACTTGCCCCTGAATTGCCTGTGCTTCGTTCAAGGGAGGATAAACTAAATACACTCACTTTCTACAAGCCAGGAGCTTGTAGAAAGCACTGCAGACCCAGGGAGGGGGTTTCCTCAGGGATTTATAGCTCCAGCAGCCCATCCTGCACATCAGCCAACTCCTGGGGCTGGCATCCAACGCCCCAGCATGACATTCCAGCAGCTTCTGGCCTGGCCCGGTTGCCCCGGACCCACCCTTTGTCCCTGTGTGGGGTGGAACAAAGGGGGTTAAACAGCAGGCAGGAAAGCCCAGCTTCTAGAAGGCAGCAGCAGGGTCCTCAGCCATCCCACCCCATCCAGAAACCACAGGTCCAACTCCTGACTGCGTCAGACAGGGAAGGGCAGTGCCAGAAGGGAGGTGGCCCCAGGCAGAAACACCAGCTCTGCTGCTGACAGCCTGGAACCTTGGGAAGATGAGCGAAGCCTCCTCCAGGCCTTGGTGTTCTCATCTGTAAAATGGAGACAGTAGTAGTTCCTACCTCTGGCCATTGCTGTGGAGTTGAAAAGGAAAGCATGTAGACCCAGGATACTTGACAGTGGCATAGGTGCCCGCTGTTGTCACCATCATCGTCATTGTTATGATGATGTCATTTGAAGGTGAGAGAATCCAGAGGCATGTGAGGAAAATGGATTTGCACCCCAGTACTAACATTTCAAGGCATGAAGCTCCAAAATTTGGTACCTAATGCTATGAAAAGGCCTAGAAAGAAAGGTTCCATTTATTTATTCAAGAAACACTGAGAAGGTGCCTGTGCTGGATTCTGGGCCAAGGAAAACTAAGAAGAATTAGTCATGATCCTTGCCCATGAGGGATTTCACAGCCAGCAAGGGGGAAAGAAAGAGAGAGACGTTAAACAAAAATATGGGCCAGGTACAGTGGTTCACACCTGTAATCCCAGCACTTCGAGAGGCCAAGGCGGGTAGATCACCTGAGGTCAGGAGTTCAAGAACAGCCTGGCCAACGTGACGAAACTAGTGCACGCTTTTCTGTTGCCGCCGGCAGACCGGAATTCCTGGTGTCGCCACAGCTGACATCGTATGCCCAGCTCTGCTGCCGCCATGGGGATCTTAGAGAAGATCTTGGAGATCAAGAAGGAGATTGCTCGGACACGGAAGAACAAAGCCACTGAGTATCATCTGGGCCTGCTGAATGCTAAACTCGCCAAGTATCGGGCCCAGCTCCTGGAACCATCCAAATCCACCTCATCCAAAGGAGAGGGCTTTGATGTCATGAATTTTGGCGATGCCCACATGGAGCTAATTGGATTTCCCTCTGTGGGTAAGTCCACATTCTTGAGTCTGATGACCTCCACGGCCATCGAGGCGGCGTCCTATGAGTTCACCACTCTGACATGTGTTCCTGGGGTCGTTGAATACAAAGGTAGCAACATCCAGCTCCTGGACCTTCCCGGAATCATTGAAGGCACAGCACAAGGAAAAAGGCCATGGCCAGCAGGTGATTGCTGTGGCATGCACGGCCGATGTCGTCATCATGTTGCTGGATGCCACCAAGGGAGAGGTGCAGAGGTCTCTGCTGGAGAAGGAGCTGGAGTCCATGGGCATCCACCTCAGCGAGCACAAGCCTAACATCTACTTCAAGCCCAAGAGAGGCGGCGGCAACTCCTTTAACTCGACAGTCACACTGACCCAATGCTCGGAAAAGCTGGTGCAGCTCATCCTGCACGAATACAAGATCTTCAATGCAGACGTGCTCTTCCAAGAAGACTGTTCCCCAGATGAGTTCATCGATGTGATCATGGGCAACTGGGTGTACATGCCTTGCCTGTATGTTTATAACAAAATCGACCAGATCTCCATGGAAGAGGTGGACCGCCTGGCCCAAAAACCCAACAGTGTGGTCACCAGCTATGGCATGAAGCTGAACTTGGTCTACCTGCTGGAGATGCTTTGGGAGTACTTGGCCCTGACCTGCATCTACACCAAGAAGATAGGAGAGAGGCCAGACTTCCCAGACACTATCATTCTCCAGAAAGGGGCCTCAGTGGAGCACGTGTGCCACCGCATCCACCGGTCACTTGCCAGCCAGTTCCAGTATGCCCTGGTGTGGGGCACCAGCACAAAGTACAGTCCGCAGTGGGTGGGCCTGACCCACACCATGGAGCCTGAGGACGTCATCCAGATCGTGAAGAAGTAATGGCCTCCTACCCACCTGCCTCATCACCCTGGGGCATCAGTCCTACTGGGTCACACAAACGCCCAAACAGAAAAATACAAATACACATACCCCAGGAAGGGGTCCCTCAAGTCTCTGCTATTTCCAGAAGTTTCTTCAGTAGGCAGATGAATAGTGCGTTGGGGCAGAGGGGTTCGGCTGGAGGCATTTCCCATAAGACTGAGGCCTCTCGTGGGGGTTTTGAGTTTGGAGTGCTGGGCCTGCATCTGTGCCCCCAGCCCCTGGAGGCTGTGGCTGCTGTTACAGCACCTCCCTCCCTCAGCTCCTGCCGGCTTCCCTGACACTCAGGGTGGGGGCCCTTCCAGGAAGAAACCCCCTTGGGTCCCCCACACAGGGCTCTCCAGGATTGGAAGCAGAGGTTAGTGGCTTCAGAGGCCCAGCTGACACCCTCCACAGCCTAAAGGGTGTCCTAAAGTGCCTCTCCTTCTCTGCCCCCTCCCAGGGCAGCCCCTGCCCAACACAAAACCCCCAGACCCTGGCTCTGCACGCCTGGGCCGGGGACTTTTCAGTTTAGAATCTGTTTCTAAGTTCCCAGTTCTCCTGGCTCTCCTTTCTGAAATAGAGGATTGAAAATGGTTTAAAAAATAAAAAACATGACGAAACCCTATCTGTACTAAAAATGCAAAAGTTAGCTGAGTGTGGTGGCAGGTGCCTGTAATCCCAGCTACTCAAGAAGCTTAAGTAGGAGAAGCTCTTGAATGGGAGGCAGAGGTTGCAGTGAGCCGAGATCGTGCCATTGCACTCCAGCCTGGGTGACAGAAAGAGACTCCATCTCAAAAAACAAAAAAAAGATGGAGGTGTGGGTGGCAGAGGCTCAAAATCAAATAAGACCAGCAATGAGGTGGAGGTTTGGGAGCTGAGGCCTTCTGCAAGGACAGCTCTGATGCAGACGGGCTGCCCATGGCCTTCCCCACATTGGAGGGACCCACACTGGAAGCCGTAAGGCAGCCCCCTCAGCGGGTCCCACCACGGGGTCCAAAATTCAGACAGGGCACCAGGGCGTCCAGGCACCTCTGCTGCATGCTGGACTTACATGTCTGGGTCTCTGAGAAAGTATGGTGAGGAAAACAAAACCGTCGGCCCCAGGGAAGGGAAGCCCTGAGCGGGGCACCCCTGTGGTGGAAGAGCAGCTTCAACCAGGATGCAGAAGCAGAATGGGTGTTGCATGGGGGAGAGGCTGGGGAGTTAGGGTCTTTTACCCCCTGGTGGCAGGAACCCGTAAGACCCACTGCTGGCCACTGGGCAACCTCCCTGGGGCAGGCCAGACAGAGAGGACCTGCAAGCTGGGCTTGCTGACATCCTCTTGCCATGAAGAGGGGTCTGACGAGGCCCAGGGTGGCTTGGACACTTGGGTTTCTGAATCAGCCCTGTACTGCCACCAGCAAGAAGACAACCCCATTTCAGGGCCAGGGTGACCCCATCAGCCCCACCCAGAGCGAGCAGCCCCTCCTGGCCTCCCCACCAGCATGTGGCTGCCCCAGGGCTATGGCAGGGGCTTGCCTCCTCCCTGACCCAGGCAGCACCCCCACCTCTCTGATTGAACAGCATGAAGGCGAATTATGTCCCACGAGGGGAAGGCCCAGAGAGCCACAGACAAAGAGGGGAAGGGGATCTGAAGGAAACTCAAAAGCAAAAGACAGAGGTGGCTAAGGCTAACACGGGGTGAAGAACAGAGAGGGAACCCCTGGGGCCTCCGCTGCCCCTCTTTCTCTTCTAAGAGAGAAGGTGGCTGAAGAAGATCTCGCCAGATGCAGGCAACTTCAATAAACCCACTCAGGAAACCTGAATCTTTCCTGTTGGCGGAGCGTGGTGGTTCACACCTGTCATCCCAGTACTTTGGGAGGCTGAGGTGGGAGGATCAGGAGGTCGATACTGCAGTGAGCCAAGAGCGTGCCACTGCACTCTAGCCTCAGCAACAGAGGAGACCCTGTCTCAAAATAATTTTTTTAAATCCATCTCTTTCCTGTAGCTGTTATTAAAAAGAAAAGTAAAAGACCAGGTATAGTGCCTCATGCCTGTAATCCCAGCACTTTAGGAGGCCATGGTGGGCAGACCTCCTGAGGTCAGGAGTTCAAGACCAGCCTGGCCAACATGGTGAAACTCATCTCTACTAAAAAATACAAAAATTAGCCAGTCATGGTAGAGTAAGCCTGTAATCCCAGCTACCCTGGAGGCTGAGGCAGGAGAATTGCTTGAACCCAGGAGGCAGAGGTTGCGGTGAGCTGAGATTGTACCACTGAACTCTAGCCTGGGTAACAGAGTGAGACTTTATCTTTAAAAAAAAAAGAAAAAGGAAAATAGCACTCTTATTTTTGTCTCCCACCACCATTGTGTAGGTTTTGAATGAGGAAAAGGAGTTAGAAAAACAGGACCTAGTTAAGTAAAGAAGGGTATTTCCATATGATAATATGTTAGGCAGTCACTTAAAATCATGTTTCCAACCATTTTTAATGATGTGGTAGACAGAATCCACAGTGTTCTGCCTACACAAGGGCTAGCGCATTGAGTCTGTTTCTTTGGACGATGGGACTGTCATTGGTTGTGACAGTACTTTCTGCATAGTACATATCTTTTAATATAGTACCGATATTTTAATAAAAAGAATAAAAGAGATGCTCCAAAAGGTGTCTTTTTTTTTTTTTTTTTTTTTTTTTGAGATGGAGTCTCACTCTGTTGCCCAGGCTGGAGTGCAATAGTACGATCTTGGCTCACTGCAACCTCTGGCTCTTGGGTTCAAGCGATTCCCCTGCCTCAGCCTCCCAAGTAGCTGGGATTACAGGCACCCGCCACCACACCTGGCTAATTTTGTATTTTTAGTAGAGACGGGGTTTCACCATGTTGGCCAGGCTGGTCTCAAACTCCTGACCTCAGGGGATCTGCCCGCTTCAGCCTCCTAAAGTGCTGGGATTATACAAGGCTGGAGTGCAGTGGCGAGATCTTGGCTCACTGCAACCTCCTCCTCCTGGGTTCAGGCAATTCTCCTGCCTCAACAACCCAAGTAGCTAGGATTACAGGCGAGTGCCACCACACCCAGCTAATTTTTATATTTTTAGTAGAGATGGGGTTTCACCATGTTGGTCAGGCTAGTCTCGAACTCCTGACCTCATGATCCCTCCATCTCAACCTCCCAAAGTGCTGGGATTACAGGCATGAGCCACAACACCCAGCCTTACAATGTGTCTTTATAAGAAACTTCAAGGGAGGACCAGCCGCTGTGATTCGGTGTGGAGTAGGGTTGTCCAACAGGCCCAGCCCTCAGGGACCACACTCAGGACAGGGATGAGAGCAGGGTTTGGGGCTCCCCCTCACTCCCAGACCTTCCTCTGTGCTCCTGCAGATGAGGGACTATGGGACATCCTAATCAAAGACATCCCCAAGGAGGTGAGCTCCTACACATTCAGCATGGACATCCTGAAGCCGGGCGTGAGCTATGACTTCCGGGTCATCGCGGTCAATGACTATGGCTTTGGCACCCCCAGCAGCCCCTCCCAGTCTGTTCCAGGTAATGGCCCAAGTGCAGAGGGAGTTGGGGAGCCCTGCAGCAGAGCCTGGTGACTGACGCTGGGCGGGAGGGAGGAGGAGAGGCACCAGGCACGAGGAGCATGGGATGGGAACCAAAAAGCATTGTCCCTTGGGGCTGCGAAGGGGTGAGTGCTGGTGCCCAGTGCTGGGTCAGCCCTCGAGGCCAGAGGAAGCTGAGGGTCTTGATCTTTTGGACTCCCTCTCAAGGACTCCAGCAGCCCTGGGTAGGGGCAGAGCAGAGGGTCCCATGGGTGCAAATTTCCACGCACTCATCACCTAGGACGTTCAGGGGCACCAGGCCATAAACTGTCTTTCTGTGGAAACCTCCAGCCTCAACATGGCAGGGTCAGCAGCCTGCAGAGCAGCAGTGGCACAGGAGGGCCTTAGGCACCACCTGTGTGGCAACAGGGTCACCACCCCTCCCCATTTTCCTCCCCTCACTCTTCCTATCTGGCAAGTCTTCGATAGCACAAAGGGCTCTGCTATCTAATCCGTGACCCAAAATGTTATCGCTAACCACTCTGAATACAAAGGTCCCTTCCTCCTCCTCCCCGTCCCACACATTGACCACCTTGATAGAACCAAATATTCTCCTTTACCCACATGGATAGAACCAAACCTACTCCCTTATCCACATAGAGAGAACCAAATCCTGGGGCAGAAGTGCTTCAAGACTGAAACAGAGAGCCCACCCCTTGTCCTCAGCAGCATGGGTAGTCCTGGCTGGGTACAGAAAGCACAGCATAGGCCGGGTGCGGTGGCTGGCGCCTGTAATCCCAGCCCTTTGGGAGGCCAAGGTGGGTGGATCACCTGAGGTTAGGAGTTTAAGACCAGCCTGGCCAACATCTCAAAACCCCATCTCTACTAAAAAAAGTAGCTGGGTGTTGTGGCAGGCACCTGTAATCTCAGTTACTTGGGAGGCTCAAAGAAAATCGCTTGAACCCAGGAGGTGGAGGTTGCAGTGAGCCAAGATCATGCCATTGCACTCCAGCCTGGGCAATAAGAGTGCAACTCAACTCAAAAACAAAAAGAAAAAATAGCTAACACACTGCCACTCTCCCGTCCTGTGTCCCTGGCAGACATCACTAATCAATCCTAGCACTCTTTCCTGTTGAGCCAGGCAGCCATCTCAGAGCGCATCTGACATCAGACCTCCTGGCAGTCCTTTACCCACTGATCAGAGCTGGTACTTGGGGTGAACCCATCCTTACAGAGGTTCTGCCTCATTCAGAGGGCACAGACCCTGCCTTCGCATAGATTGTGAGTGGTTGGTGGAGTCCGTCCCAGTTGGAGCGGGAGATTTAGAGGGAGGAAGGGGCTGAGCACCCTGGACCTGACCCCATCCATGCTCCAGCCCAGAAAGCCAACCCCTTCTATGAGGAGTGGTGGTTCTTGGTGGTCATCGCCCTGGTCGGCCTCATCTTCATCCTGCTGCTGGTCTTTGTGCTCATCATCCGGGGCCAGAGCAAGAAGTATGCCAAGAAGACAGACTCGGGTGAGTGAGCTGGCACCAGCCATGCTGGCTGGACTTGACCAGGATGGGGGTGATGGGGTCCCTCTCCTGGTAGCACACCTGCTCTGGTGGGCGGGGCAGCCTAGGGTTTCTACACACAATCTCAATCTCTTATTTTGGACTCAACTCTACCGAGAGAAAGAGCAGGTAGCCCAGCCAGGTGGGCAGTGGTGTGGGAGAGGGGAGGCCACACAGTCTAAAGGGTGTCAGTCTCCCCCCGACTCCAGGGAGCAGCGCCAAGTCTGGAGCCCTAGGCCACAGCGAGATGATGAGCTTGGATGAAAGTAGCTTCCCTGCCCTGGAACTTAACAACAGGCGGCTCTCCGTCAAGAACTCTTTCTGTCGAAAGAACGGCCTGTACACCAGGTAGCAAGCCCTCTGTGGAGGGTGGGGGGCCAGGCCAAGGGTGGGAGAATGCTGGGGAGGGCCATAGAGTGGGCGGTGCCCATCTGGCCATACGCTGTCCCGGGAAACAGCATTCAAGCCCCAGGGCTGGGAATGATCAGCAGAAAGATACGGTGGGGCCCAAGCAGGACCACCAGCGGCCTGTCCCAGTCCCCACCATGCCCAGCCACAGCCTGGGGCTGAGGACGAACCAGGGAGATATTTACCAGGAGGTGACTACTAAGAGTTCCTGACAGTGACAGCAGAATGCAAATAACTGACAACATTTTGCAAACCAACCTATTGCTGTTCAGAGCCAACTGCCAGGGAAACAGGCCTGTAGATAGTCACTTGGCCCAAAGGCAAGGCAGTCCCAGCCAAGGCAGACCGAGCAAACACACTTAGTGAAGGATGCCTGAGCACCCCCATTATCTCTATGTCCTACCGTCTTCCTCCCCATCCGGGAAACCCTCTCCCCTGGGTCCTTATTTATGCCCATTAAAGGACAACCTCCTGTCCCCATCAGCCTCAAAGGGTGGCATCTGAAAGCAGCCCGTGAGGACAGGACAAGGCTGGTAGGCGAGCACAGCTTCCATTTTCTCCTGACTTCTTTCTAACCCCAGCCCCCTCCTAGGCCCCACTCCCTGTGGCCACTGGGCAGCCCATTTCCAAGGGCCAGAGCCCCTGCTGGGGCCTACCTGACCCTCCCCTGATGTGTGGTGTGTGGTGGTTTTCCGCTCCCCTGAGCTCAACAGGGACCAGGCCAGAGGGCTCCTGTGTCAGGCCTCAGCCCTATTGGCATTCCTAGCTCATTGGAGGCGGCAGGCAGGAGGAGTCCAGCCTCTCTTGGGAGCTCACAAAGCTTCCCTCTGTCTCTGTCTTAGAGAGATGAAGCTATGTGTGTGTTCATCTGGAGGGTGGAGGGAGGGGCTCCCAAAGCCGAGCTCTCATCCTCTGCCAAATCCAGCCTTCCAAAGAAAGAGCTGTTTGATGCTCCCACAGCAGACCCAGCCAGGCCCAGCATGGCCACAGCAGCCCCGCCAGGCTGGCCCTGGGTCCCTGCCACATGTAACAAGGGGGCATTTCACCCATGGCCTCACCTTCCCTGCCTCTCCCAGCCTCTCCTACCCACAGTGCACACACATTCAGGCCCCTGTGTGCCTCCAAAGCCACTCTGTGTACACAAAAATCCCATTTGCACCAAACCAACCTCAGGAAGTGGGCCCCTGAACCCAGCCACAGTGATACCCACCCCCCACATTCACGCTGCGTGTTGCCTGGACAGCGTTAGCCTGGAACCCTATTTTTCCCTCTATGTCCTCCACCAGGCCTGTCTCCCAAGTCCACGCCCAGGAAGGAAGAAGAACATAGGGTGGTAGGGACCCATCCTCCCCAGGCCTCCCTGTGGTCTCCCCAGACCAGGAAAGGCTGCTCTGAGTGAGGGCACCTCTCAGCCCCGCTCCCCTACTCTCTCCAGGTCTCCCCCTCGGCCCAGCCCGGGCAGCCTGCACTACTCAGATGAGGATGTCACCAAGTACAATGACCTCATCCCTGCAGAGAGCAGCAGTCTGACCGAGAAGCCCTCGGAAATCTCCGACTCTCAGGTGAGGGCAGGAGGGCCAGGTGTCCTGCAGAGGGGAGGGAGCAGCCCCTCCCAGAGTGGGACAGTAGATGGGCTTTCTTCCTTTCCTTCATGGGGAGCCAAAGACTAAGGAGCCCAAGAAACCACCCTGAAGTCATATATGTCCCATGCCAAGTTCTGCTCAAAGTTGGCAGCCAGTGCTAATGAGGTCCCAGGAACCTTGATCACAGGGATGTCCCCTGAAGAGCATGACCCTCCACACTTACAGGAGTCATCCCACAGACTCAGTTACTCATTAGGTCTGGCCTGCAAGGTTGACACATAAGCCCTGCATTGCCCTGGAAAAATGTCCCACTTAACTCCTCAAGGATCAGAACAAGCTTCAGAAACAGAGGGCTGGTTGCCCTGGAGCCCGAGGATGAAAAGCAGTGTAGACCAGGAAGGTGTTAGGCTTTGGAGCTTTGGACCTGAGTTTGAATCCTGGCTTTGCTGCCCGTGAGTGGGATGTCCTGGGTGTGCCAAGTAACCTCTCTAAGCCTCAGTTTCCCCATCTGTGGAACAGGCAAGGTGATAATAGGCTCTGTCCTGAGGCCATGGGGAGGATCTGCTGAGATTAGACACATGAATGCAGCATAGAGCCAGGTACACGGCAACCACTCCATAAATGTCAGCTTTTATATGAAGTGGGAGTCGATGCTTCTGGAAGACACAGCTTCAGAGAGCAGCCATTAGGTGGGTCATGCGGGGACACTGTGTCCCAGGCTGTGGGGGGAGGGGCTGTGTGCATTCCAACCACGCAGCCTTACAGCTTCCCACCCCAGCCCTCTTTGCCTCAGCCAAGCCCAGTGGTTACTGAGGAAAGGGCCACAAAAGGCCACGAAAGGGCACTGCATCCCACGCCCTGGACCTCTCTGCCCAGGCCTGGGAGAGGAAGTAAAGGAAGAGGTGCCAGCAGGGAGCGGGGCTATTGGCTGTGGAGGAGGTGCCAAAAAGCCTGGGATCACGTTGTGGGCCCCGTGGGCTGAGGGCCTCTCACTTACTGCTGTTTTGTTCAGCTCCAGGGTTACTGATGGGCTTGGCAGAGCTGAGCAGGCTGGACCTAACTCCCTAGCCCAAAGCTGGCAGGGACAGAGACCCCAACTTAGCCTGGCTTACTCAGGGACTCAGTGGGGGAACAAAACCCATGTGATCCAAGTTGTGAGATTTTTGCTGTTGTTAAGATAGGATCTTGCTCTGTCACCCAGGCTGGAGTGCAGTGGCGCAGTCTTCGCTCACTGAAACCTCTGCCTCCCGGGTTCAAGTGATATCCTGCCTCACCCTCCTGAGTAGCTGGGACTATAGGCACAAGCCACCATGCCCAGCTAATTTTTGTATTTTAGTGGAGACATGGTTTCAACATGGTGGCCAAGCTGGTCTCGAACTCCTAACCTCAAGTGATCCGCCTGCCTTGGCCTCCCAAAGTGCTGGGATTACAGACATGAACCATGGGGCCTGGCCCCGCTATGGTCCTTAGGAGGCTCCTAAAGAAGTGCTGCTGCCACTCACCCATGTGACAAGCAGCTCAGCTACCAGTTAGCATCTACAATGCGGAGCCCCCACCTTGGAGTGGGGGCTGATAAGGATGCCGCTGGTAGTTCTCATGCCTGTGACAGTTTGTGCAAGGGTTCGTCCCTGAGGATCAGCAGCCGCACAAGCCAGGGCCCTTCGGTTTCAGCCTCCAGGAAGAACGACTGCCTCTCTTTTCAAGGGCGTCCCTCCCCCCCAGGTCTTTGGCAAGTGGGTTTTGCGTATGCTGCCTGGTTTATATTCTGAGTCAGACCACCCAAAACTCACTCTCCAAAATTGGCGGAAATCTGCCCAGCCGTTTTCCTGTGATATGGTAATAAACAAAACGTCAGTTTGACTTATAAACAAACACACATGATGCAATACGAGGAAGGCTGTAATTCAGCTGGCGTGATGGGTTAGAGGAGAGAGAGGCTGGCTCTCACGTAGAGGGCCCAGGGCACAGGAGAAGGGGGCAGAGGGCAGGATGCATGCAAAGGCTGAAGATTGAGAGGCCCCTGACCTGTGCGATAGAGCTTCTCACACTGCAGCATGGCTGCGCAGCAACTTAATTTTCAAAACAAGAGCCCAAGTTTGGTAGAAAAACAATGTGTATACTTAGCACACAAGTAAATCTCAATGGAAAAGAAATTCCAAGCTGATGGCACACACCTTCTGATCTTGATCTTCAGTTCTTGCAATATCATGACAGCCCCTTCATTGCATTGTGGTGAAATTAGGCACATTTTAAAAAGAAGATACTCAGAGAAAATCATATTTTCTTTTTCTTTTTCTTTTTTTTTTTTTGAGACAGAGCTTCTCCCTCATTGCCCAGGCTGGAGTGCAGTGGCACAATCTTGGTTCATTGCCATCTCCGCCTCCCAGGTTCAAGCAATTCTGCCTCAGCCTCCCGAGTAGCTGGGATTACAGGCACGCACCACCATGCCTGGCAAATTTTGTACTTTCAGTAGGGTCAGGGTTTCCCCATGTTGGTTAGGCTGGTCTTGAACTCCTGACTTCAGGTGATCTGCTCACCTCAGCCTCACAAAATTCTGGGATCACAGGCGTGAGCCATCGTGCCCAGCTGTGAATCATATTTGCTGTACTATTTATTACTAGAAGCCATGAAGCATTCTAAGGATTGTTTGTGAATGACACCATCTAAGCTTCAGAGTCCTCTGGGAGGCACTGGTGGCATTAAGACTATTTTCAAGTAAAGATGATGAGAAAAAGAGAGCTGGGAAGGCCCCCACCCCCTGACAAAGAGCCAATACATCCCCTCATTGCCCCCACCCCCGTGACATCTGCCCTGCATACCGGCACAGGCGAGACTCTGTATAGTACCTGGGAGGAGTAAGTGCTGGGTTTCCTTTCTATGAAACTTATTCATTCATTCCTTGATGCATTTACTGAACAGCTATTTGTTCTATACCCACTAAACAGAACCAGACACTATAGAGGAGTGATGGCTACGGTAGTGGCAAGACAGACTCTAATAAATGTTGCATTATAATGTGTTATGATTTATTAGGGAAGACAATATGTATATAAATAACCACGTTTTCATTTCTCATTAAAATATTATGATACTGGTCAGGTGCGGTGGCTCATGCCTATAATCCCAGCACTTTGGGAGGCCGAGGCAGGCGAATCACAAGGTCAGGAGTTAGAGACCAGCCTGGCCAATATGGTGACACCCCGTCTCTAAAAATACAAAAATTAGTTGGGCATGGTGGCACATGTCTGTAATTCCAGCTACTTGGGAGGCTGAGGCAAAAGAATCACTTGAACCCGGGAGGTGGAGGTTGCAGTGAGCCGAGATGGTGCCACTGCACTCCAGCCTGGGTGACAGAGCGAGATTCCATCTCAAAAAAATAAATAAATAAATAAAATATTATGGAACCACAGTAACTTGAGGAAGAAAGTGGTGAAAAAAGTCTTCCTGTTTCTTTCCTGCGGTGCAGAGGCAGATAAAGCAGCATGAGGACGCCACTTCCCCTGGAGGCTCAGAGAGGGCTGCCTGAAGGAGGCGGCATTTATGTGAGCTGGGCCCCAAGGTGTGAACAGGACTGGGTCAGGCATAGAAGGGAACCGTGTGGGTTCACAGCTGGCTGGAGCGGGGCTCATGTTCTGCCATCACTCTTCTGCTGAATGGCTCTGACCTTTGACCTGTGTTTACTTCTTTTCCACCAGATGGGCCATGAGTCCAACAGGCTCAGCTGAGACCTTGTCGTCAGCTTCTCCTTAGCCTGACCACCCTCCAGACCCTGGCAGCCCAAGCTTGTGCCAAACGAGAAACATGCTGCAGGGCAGAGACAGGCCAGGGAGAGGCTAAGCTACATACTGGGCACCTGCAGTGTGCCAAGCCCTGGGCTTTGTGTGTTCTCATTTAACATCTAACTGCCCTGCCATGCAAATGAAACCATACCCATTTAACAGCTGGGGAAACTGAGGCTCAGAGAAGTCAGGCACTATGCCCTTGGTCACAGAGCTCAGAAGTACAAACAATTGGGATTCAAATCTAAATCCAGCTTGCTCAGTGAGTCCTGCCTACTGTGGCCTGGCCTCGTGCAGCTGCCCAGCAGGGAGAGGAGATTGAAGAGGGAGAGAGGCCTTCACTGACTCCAACCTCACCCCAGTGACCTCCCTCGAGCCCCCTGAACACAGACATCTCTAACAGCTGGTTGGGAGGCGGGGAGCAGGATGCACATAGGCTGTCATTTTACCTTTGAGGGCACAGGTGACACATAGGATGTTGATTCTCAGCTGACATTTTTCAAAGGACATTCCTGGGAGATTTCCAGCTGTCTTAGCACAGAGAGCCCAGAGCCTCGACAAAATTGTCCAAGGGCAAAATGCTGAGGTTCTTCAGAGACACGCAGGAGACACATCACCCCCACCCCACCTCTAATCCAGAGGCTGCAGCCCCTGCAGAGAGATCCCAGCTGGCCCCCAGAGTAGAGGCATCCAGGGGAAGGTGGAACACCCTGCACAGATGCACTGCTGGCTTCAGGCTAGAATCGGTGCAGAGCCCCTGGGACCGTGGGTACGAGAGGGGGCCCCTGCTTCCAGTCTCCCAAGTTGCTGCACATGGTGCCTCCTCTGTCATCTGGGACAACACATTCCTCCCAGACTTCATGAGATTCAACAAGATAAGAGTCCCCTGCCTGGCCCCAAGGTCTTAACACAGTCCCAAAGCCCAGAATCACTCCTGACCCTATCGCCAGCTGAGTCTGGTGCCAGATCCTTTGGGCTGGAGATGAACAAAAAAGCAAAAGGGCTTTGCTTTACTTCCTCTTTCTTCGGGGTCCTGCCTCCTTCTGCCATCCCCCCCCACCCCCACCCCACTCCCATCACCAGGACCCAGTAATTGCTGATTGAGTGGCTTTGAGGTGCTGTTAAGAGACCAGGGAGATGAAGCAGTCACTTGATAGCCTGGCGGCCTGGCAGGACAGCCCCTGAAAGGCCCCCTTTGTGCTGGGTGAGTCCCTGGGAAGCTGCATTCAATTACCGAGGCTGTGAGAGTTGAAAGCTGCAGTAGGAGCCCCGGGTTCCCCCTCGCTTTCTTCTCTTCTCGCCCCACCCCCCACCCCGAAAAGAAACAGATGTTCAGGGAGATGGAGGCGGGAGCAACAGTCGCTGATGCAAAGCCCTCCTGCTTGGGCTTTGGAGGGAGTGGGGGAGGGAGGAAGGGTAGACCAGACTCTCGCCTGCCTGGCCCCTCCCGCAGTTCGGGCTCTGTTTGGCTCCCTGCTCTTCCTTCTGGTGCCTTCCATTCCCAAAATGCTGCCCACAGAGTGCCTGGTACCAGTAGGCATTTGGCAGATACTAGCTGCTAGGACAAGGATGGTCTAGATGAGTGGACTTTGGGATCTGGGCCCTTGGGAGAGCCAGAGAATCCCACACCCCACCTTGCTCCCAATCTGGACATGCCTGTCTTGGATTCAGGGGTGGGGAAGATAGTAGCTAACCTTCTTCTCCCATTCCAGCTGCCTGAGCACTGAGTCAGCCTCCCAGCTTCCTAGCCCCTTCTGATCCCTCGCAGGGGGACTTTGAGGCTTCCCACTCCACCTCTTCCCTTTCCCACCCAGGCTCATCCTCAGTGTCCCCATTGATAATACCTTTTACAGCATTCTCTCCTGGGTTAGCTCATTTCATCCTGTGAACTATGGAGCTCTACCCATTTTACAGACAAGGACACTGAAGCTGAGAGAGCCTGAGTGATGGCTCACACTTCCTCTGCTGAAAAGGGCCAGAACTTCCCGGGCCACAAGCTCCTCCCCCGAGAGACTCAGTCACTGTGGGATGGTCCCACGGTGCTCCTGGGTTCCTCTGCAAGGCTGGGGCCTGGGGCTAGCCAAAATTCTAGAACACTGGAGATGATGCTCACAACTGTTCAAAGCAATTAGAGGGTGGAGAGAGCAGCTTATAGGGAAAACTGTGGGACATCCCTGTCTGGTCCCCCACACTCACAGACCCTCACTGCTCCTGGGCGGGATGGACCCCCAGGCTCCTGCCTCACAGATCCACTCTGCTCCAGGCCAGCCTGGCTCAGCCCAGCGTCAGGTGCCCCTGCTCAGCATATGGAGTTCCCCTGCCCCGGCTGTGCCCCGTCTTTGTTCTCCTGGGCCGGCAGCTGGGCAGTAGGCACAGAAAGGGGTTTGTATTGTGCGGCATTGCGTCACGAGGCAGACCGAGCTCAGGGACTTTCCATTGTCTTGGGCAGCCGGCTATGCCTGCCAAAAGGATTGAGGTCCTGGCAGGGGAGTGTCTGCTGGGGGGGTGGTAAGGAGAGGGGCTGGGGTTGTAGAGGGCTGAGGAGAGGGAGGGGAGGGGCCAGAGAACATAAATTAGCAGATGAACTGGGGAGTATTTAATTCCCGCTGGGAGTGGGGGTGGGGTGGGGGTGGGAGCTCTCGTTCCCATCCTGCGGTCTCCAGGCAGAACTGTAGGAGTTAAGAGGTGCCTGAGCTTTAGAAAATCAGGCAGATCGGTGTTCAAGCCCGGCCGGATCACTTCCCCAGCAAAACTCTCCCCCTTTCTGTACTTTATGTGCCCATCAGTGCCACGCAGCATCAGTGCTCAGGTAGCAACAGGAGTTACAGGACAGAAGTGTGAAAATTAAATACAGTTACACACGTCAGCAGTTCGGACTATCTGGCAGAGTGCCCGCTTCAGTAGTGAGGATCGTGGTGGTTCTATTCATTGCGGCTACATCTCTAGAGATGTATGCCAATGTTATGAAGGACTCCGAGTTCCTGAGAATAAGCTGTGCGTCTCAATTCCCAAAGCTCAGACCCTTTGGACAAAGGTCCCCACTCCATTTTCTTTACCTGTAAAGCAGGGTGCACCTCCCCACCCCAAACTTGTTTGGATTGGGCTAACTGGGTTTTACGTTTTATTCGGGTTGCTGTGATTCACTAACTGCCCACAGGCAGGGACATTCTCAGGGCACGACTGAGGAGGCCTGGGCAGGGTCCTCTGAGCTGCATTTCACTGAGCCTGTGCTGTACACTGAAATCAGAGCACTTCTCTTCCAGAGAGTTCTGAGGGTGGGCCCATCTGTTGTCGTATTAGCTCTCAAAACGTTGCGGGGAGTTCAGGGTAGGGGAAGGTTGCACAGTATTTTTAGCTCCACAATTCAATTTCACTTTCCAACCAAGACTGAGTTTTGTTTGGGGCTAATGTCCCCAAAAGATGAAGCCTGCTCCTAGGACATCAACGTGCAAAAAAAAAGTTAGGAATAATTTAATATTTTTATCTTTACAAAAAAAAAAAAACAACTTTGGGCTGGTTCGGTGTCATTATGCCGTAATCCCAACACTTTGGGAGACCAAGGCAGGAACATAGCGTGGGCACAGGACTTCGAGACCAGCCTAGGCAACAGAGACCTCCATCTCAAAAAAAAACTTTAAAGTTGTCATTACATAAAAATTCTGAACTTGTGTTTAGATTTTTCTCATGCTTCGTTGGTAACCAAGCATTGTCTTTATGTTGGCTCACACTCGGACAAGCGCTGGCATTTTTTCACTGCCCAGAGCCTCTAAAGGTCTTTCTGGCTCTGGCTTTGTCCCCAGTCACAAAGTAAATCAGAAGCTGGACCAAGATGAGAACTCAGTAGGTTGAGGTTGAACCTTGAAAACATGACTCTGTGTCAGAGAAGCCAGACACAAAAGGCTACGTATTGAATGATCCCGTTTATATGAATAAGTGAATCCCTGGAGACAGAAGACAGATTAGTGGTTGCCAGGGGCATGGATAGAGGGAGTGCCCAGCGGGGGCAGAGATAGGGAGTGGCTGCTTCGTGGGTGCAGGTTTGACTTTGGGGCGGTGACAGTGATTTGGGACTGGATGGAAGCGGTCACAGGACATCGTGAAGCTCCTGATGCACTGAGTCATGTGCCTGAGAATCATTCACTCTCTGTTATGTGAACTTCCTTCCGTTGAAAACAAAGGCCAGACGAGGTGGCTCATGCCTGTAATCCCAGCACTTTGGGAAACTGAGGCAGACAGATTACCTGAGGTCAGGAGTTCAAGACCAGCCTGGCCAACATGGTGAAACCCTGTCTCTACTAAAAATACAAAAAAATTAGCTGGGCATGGTGGTGGGTGCCTGTAATTCTAGCTACTCGGGAGGCTGAGGCAGGAAAATTGCTTGTACCCAGGAGATGGAGGTTACATTGAGCAGAGATTATGCCACTGTACTCCAGCCTGTGCAAAAAGAGCAAAACTTCATATAAAAAAAAAAAAGAAAAAGAAAAAGAAAGAAAGAAAGAAAGAAAAGAAAAGAAAGGTGAGGGGAAGTGGTTTATGCCAGTAATCCCAGCACTTTGGGAGGCCAAGGCAGGAGGATTGCTTAAGCCCAGGAGTTCTAGACCAGCCTGGGCAACATAAGGAGATCTCGTCACAACAGAAAAAATGTTTTAAATTAGTGGAGCATGGCAACATGCATCTATAGTCCTGGCTACTCAGAAGGCTGAGGTGGGAGGATAGCTTGAGCTCAGGAGATTGAGGCTACAGTAAGTGAAGATCACACCACTGTGCTCCAGCCTGGGCAACAGATTGAGACCTTGTCTCAAAAAAAAAAAAAAAAAGAGAAAGAAAAGAAAACTTGCCGGGCGTGGCAGCTCATACCTATAATCCCAGCGCTTTGGGAGGCTGAGTCAGGTGGATCACTTGAGGTCAGGAGTTTGAGACCAGCCTGGACAACATGGTGAAACCCCTCAAAATACCAAAAAAATTAGGCGGGCATGGTGGCATGCATCTGTCATCCCAGCTACTCAGGAGGCTGAGGCAGGAGAATCACTTGAATCTGGGAGTCGGAGGTTGCAGTGAGCTGAGATCATACTGCTTCACTCCAGCCTGGGCAACAGAGCAAGATTCTGTCTCAAACAAACAAACAAAAAAAGATAAGAAAAAGAAAAGAAAACTCAGGTCTTCTGATTCTATCAGGTATCTCTGGGCCAACCCCACAGTAGACCCCTTCAGGGTCTACTTCCTCCAGGAAGACCCTTCCTTCAGGATCTTCTCTGAAGGAAGCAGAAAGTGGGTACAAACAGGCACCAGACTCCCTTGGCAGTGTGGGTGCCAGAAGGCCCACAGTCCAGGTCTTAAATGAGGCAGAGCAGAGTTTTGAACCAGAATGTCCTGTCCCCATAGGGCCACTGACACACCCCGATTCTCTGTCCTCCCAGGGAAGTGACAGCGAGTATGAGGTTGACTCAAACCACCAGAAGGCCCACTCCTTTGTCAACCACTACATCAGTGACCCCACGTACTACAACTCGTGGCGGAGGCAGCAGAAGGGTATCTCGAGGGCACAGGCCTACAGCTACACGGAGAGCGACTCGGGCGAGCCGGACCATGCCGCCGTCACCAACAGCACCAGCACCCAGCAGGGCAGCCTCTTTCGGCCCAAGGCCAGTCGGACTCCAACGCCTCAGAATCCCCCAAACCCCCCAAGTCAGCAGAGCACCCTCTACCGCCCCCCCAGCAGCCTGGCCCCTGGCTCCCGGGCCCCCATCGCAGGATTCTCATCATTTGTTTGACATCGGAAGAGGAAAAAGAAAGAGAAATGGCACCAAACTCCTCCTTCACCCCTCCTCTTACCGCCTGCCAGAAGACAAAAACACCAAGAAACCAAGTCAACTTTTCACCTCCTGAGTTTATTTTTCCAGGGATTCCAGCGCCAGCAAAGCCGGCGTGCAGAAGGAGGGGAAAACCGTGAGAGGATGTGTGGGTGGCCAGCAGCTCTTTGGCTTTAAGATGGTGGGGTTCACTGCTTCTTTGGGAATTTCACAGAGCTGGGGAAGTGGCCGTAGTGTCACTGCTACGGACACAGATTGGGGTGGCCCTCTGGAGAGAGAGAGGGAGTGAAGGTGGAGGACTAGGGGCCACCAGGCAGGCGTGGTCGAGGGAAGAAGAAGCTTCTGGATGTTCAGCCAGCTGCCCTCTTCTAGCCCCTGCAGGACCCCTGGACCCACTGCCGCTACCCTCTGCAAAAAGGATGGGTATCCCAGAGGCCACGCCTGCCTTCTCTCCCTGTTCCTCCTTCCCCTCTCCCTCGTGCACCATCACCACGGCTGGCAGACAGGCATCGGACAGCCTCACCCAGACCCCTGTTCTGCCTGGGCAACCTCTACTGCCCACCTCCCCTGCTCAACTTCTCCACCAAGCATTTGGTTTATTTAGAAAAAGGAAGAAAAAAAAAACAAACTAAAGGGTGAGAATTTGCTTAGCGCCTTCCTTGTTCCTGCTTTTTTTTTTTTTTAATTTTGCATCCAAGGAAGAGAGCCCAAGGGTAGGGGAGAGACCCCCAACCACTGACCCCTTCCTCCCTCTGCCAGAATTTATTTTCTTGAGCACGGACAAGGAGAAATGAAGTCTGGGGAGCTGAGGCATAAATCAGGCGACTGGCCTGGGCACTGTGGGATAATTAGGTTTAATGCATTGTGGGTAAGATAAGAATGAAGCTTTGACTGTTCTCTTTCTTCCAATCCAGGTTCCGTCTGCCCCGTCTTTAAAGGGGTAGTCAGCTACCCTAGGCTGGGAAGCGGGGCGAAGGTGAGGGATCTCCCTCTGGGCAGACACGTCGGGCTCCACTGGATAGATCCTCATCACACACATATACACACATGCACGTGCACACACACATATCTCCCATGTACTTCCAAGATGTCCAAGGAGCCTCTACAGAAGAAACTCCTTTAGGCTTTCCTAGCCAGACAGCACACTCACTTTCAGATCTGTGTCTCTTTCACTGTCCACCATCAGCCTCCTAAGTACAGAGGCACAGGAGCCCAGAGGGATGGCCTAAGTCCCTAGTCCAGAAGCTGAGTCACCCAGAGTTTGCCCAGTCTGCCTAGCACCCAATTTATAGACAAAGAAGCAAAGGTACCCTAACCCCCAGTAACATCTTCCAGGCTGAGCTCTGCCTGGCCAGGGCCAGGAGGGGAAATAGCAGGTCAGGAAGCTCAGTCCAAAGTGGACATGGCATTCGAGATGCTCATCCAGCAGGGGCAGGTCAGATGGGACCAAGTGACAGAAATAGCTGATGGGAGGGAAAGCTTTTATACACACACACACACACACACACACACACACACACACGATCTGCTCCAAGGGGTGTTCCGCAAAAAGCCACATCTAGGCTGGGCGAGGTGGCTCACGCCTATAATCCTAGCACTTTGGGAGGCCGAGGCGGGCGGATCACCTGAGATCAGGAGTTCCAGACCAGCCTTCACAACATGGAGAAATCCAGCCTCTACTAAAAATACAAATAGTAGCTGGGCATGGTGGCACCTGCCTGTAATCCCAGCTACTTGGGAGGCTGAGGCAGGAGAATAGCTTAAATCCAGGAGGCAGAGGTTGTGCTGAACCAAGATCACACCATTGCATTCCAGCCTGGGTGACAAGAGTGAAACTCCATCTCAAAAAAAAAAAAAAAAAAAAAATAGTCACGTCTAGGGGCCAGGATCTTCCCATCCACTTGGTACTTCCAGATGCCAGGATTTAGGGAGAGGCCTTTTTATCTAACTCCCTGGGTCATCCAAGGCCCTCTGTGTCCCCAGCCAGTCCTGTAGGGCCCGCCCAAGGCCCCCCACCACCGCTGAGCTGGATGGCAGATGACCCAGTAGGGGCATGTCCAGTTCAGTGCGGGTCCCTTCATGGGGCAGGGCTCCCTGTGTGTACCGTGCACAGGTGCTGCTGGCCTTGTCCAAGAGAAGATGATGCCCTAAAGGTGGATGAGCACAGTTCCAGGAAAACTGAGTAGGGGAAGTGGGAAACAAGGTAAGAGAGAACCTGTGCCCTCCCCACCAGCCCCAAGTCCGTCACTGCGCTAATGGTGACTGGGAAGAGAAGTTAGAGTCTGGGGCCCAAAGAACAGGCACACCCAGCCATGAGTTTTTCCTGAAGCACTTGACCCCTGGGAAACGTGAAGGGGGAGATGCTGGTAGATGGCTCAGCAGACAGCTCAACCCAGCTCCAGTGTCCAAACAGCCGTTTCTCCAATGAGGAGGCCTTGGAAGGGAAGCACAATCTTTTCCCCAAAGGAGAAGGGCTGAGGGTTTGCTCCTCTTGGAAGTAAGGTGCTCTCAGGGCCTCCTTGGACTTGTCTGGGGGCTGCAGTGGAGTCAGCCCAGCCCCTGCTCCGACCCTGCCTCCTCTACCTCCACCCTCTGCAGCATCTGGCGTCTCCATGGCAACACATCTGCAGCTGCTGGCCTGTGATCCTGCTGCGCTGCTTTCTTTCCTTTCCGCTCTGTTTTCTAAATAACTTTATCCTTTTCCTCTCTGCTGAGTCTTTAACCATTTAAGGAAGTTCCCAGTTTGCATTAGGGCATTCTTTTAGCCCAGCCCAGTGAGGGATTGTTTGGGAGGAAGTAGGGGTGAGTAAAAACATTGTGTATGTGTATATATTGCACATGAGGCCAGTTTTCCTTTGCCTTTAATGAATCACCTGGTGCACTAAGGTAGTCCCCCCACCCTACTCCCCACAAGCTCATTCACACCCATGCTGACACCTACGTGCATGCATGGAATGGCACCCATGCACGCCTGTACTCACACACATGCACACACATATATGCACAGAACACACATCTGTATGTGTGTTAGCAGAGGCTCTTGCAACTCCCTCTGATGGCTGAAGCCACCTCCCCCTTGAGGCAAGAGTGGCCTGGGTTGCTTGCACTTGGGGTGTGGCTAGGATCTGTTGTCTGAGAGGGTAAGGACACCAGGCAAATTTGGACAAGCCCATGAGATCAGGCTGCGCCCACGATGAAAGTCCCACACTTAGTACCAACCTATCCGGAATACTGTCTCCACAGCCTCAGTCACAGCTGGAAGCCCAGGTCTGCAGCTGTGGCACTTTAGAGGTTTTGTTTGTTTGTTTTTTGTTTTTTGTTTTTTGTTTTTGTTTTTTTTAGACGGAGTCTTACTCTGTCGCCAGGCTGGAGTGCAGTGGTGCAATCTTGGCTCACTGCAACCTCCACCTGGGTTCAAGCGATTCTTCCGCCTCAGCCTCCCGAGTAGCTGGGACCACAGGCGCGTGCCACCACACCCGGCTAATTTTTGTATTTTTAGTAGAGATGGGGTTTCACCATGGCCAGGATGGTCTCGATCTCTTGACCTCATGATCCGCCCACCTCGGCCTCCCAAAGTGCTGGGATTACAGGCATGAGCCACCGAGCCCAGCCGGGACTTTAGAGTTTTTAAGAACACATCTCTTTGCCCTTGTTTACATATCTACTGGGGCAGCCGAGGCTCCCAACCCTCCTCCCAGACACCTGGCCATATTAGAAAGGGATGGTGGGCACTGCGGGTGTGTAACAGGGACCCTTCCTGGCCTGTGATTTTCTGAGCCAGTGATGCCAGCGCCCTGCCTGTGGGACTCCACCCAATGTAGGTTCACACCAGGACACACCTGGCACCTTTGGAATTGCCTCCCTGTGCCCCAAGCAATCTCCCAGTGTTGCACTCAGGAGCCCACGCTGGACACACCAGGGCTTTCCCCTTCCTGGCTGAGCCTCCAGAGTTGACATCAGCTCCACACCCACACTGCCAAGACAAAGCAAAAAGATGCACCAGGCTCCAGAACCACCAAGCTCCTCGGGCTCCAGGGAGTTTGCAAACCCAGGCTGCCTCCCCTTCTGTCCACCCCTCAGCCCCCAGCCCCCGAAACTCTTACCCCCAAACCTGACACTGCTGTGAATGAGAGGAAACAAGGACACGGTGGGGACTGTCTCACCTGGTGCACGCTGCCTCGAGGCCTTCTGTTGCTGCCCACACCTCCCTGGGCAGCGCTTCTAAAGGTGCCAGAGCCTCACCGCAGTGCCACTCTGGCTGGGCAGGAGCTTCCCTCAGCTTCCCAGAGTGCACATCTGAAGGTGCCTATCCTGGGTGAGGGGCTGGTGGGCACGAGGGTAGAGGGGAGATCATCTGACAGCCACCACCCGCTCCCTAGTGCCTCTGTATGGTCCTAGCCAGGGACCCCCACGGGCATGCACACATGGCAATCCTGACCACCACCTGAGCACAGGTGCCCCCGCGGGACCACCCCCCTTCTCTTTGTTTCCATCTGAATAACCAAAAGCGTTTAAATGTGTTACCTTTCTTCATCCATCTAGATGCCAGAAACAAAAATCAACACAAATCTTTATTTTTTGATTTAAAAAATAGAACAAAAAATTATGGGGAGAGTATTCATTATGGCAGGTGTCTGTCTGTAAGAAAAAAAATATATATCTATATGTCATATAGCGTGTTAGCAGGTTTATTTTTTAAATGAAAAGTAAGAAAAAAATTGATTTGAAATATATACCACGAGAAGTCCCATGTCCTGTCAAACTGTCAGTATTTTATAAATAAACTTTTTTTTTTGGAGTTTTGAAGCAACATTCTTTTCCTCCCTGGAACATGAAAGGGGACACATGTCCCAGAATCATACCCAAGCAATTCATTCCCCAAACAGCCATTTTCAGCCATGCTGTGCTTTTGCTGAGAAGAACCAAAGGGTTTGACCTATCTGCTCTCTTAATTCATAGGTGAGTGGACATCTGTGCCTTCCAGTGAAATGCACTATTTTATTTTTTTTAACATTTTAGAGGGCCAGGTGCAGTGGCTCACACCTGTAATCCCAATGCTTTGGGAGGCCAAGGTGGACGGATCATGAGGTCAAGAGATCAAGACCATCCTGGACAACATGGTGAAACCCCAACTCTACTAAAAATACAAAAAATAACTGGGTGTGGTGGCACATGCCTGTAATCTCAGATACTCAGGAGGCTGAAGCAAGAGAATTGCTGGAACCCAGGAGGCGGAGGTTGCAGTGAGCAGAGATCAAGTCACTGCACTCCAGCCTGGCGACAGAGTGAGACTCTGTCTTAAAAAAAATAAAATAAAAACTTAGAAACTGAAGGAAAAAAAACTTTTAGAATAATATCTGGCGATATGCCAATGATAGTGAATAATAATAATATATATGATGTTCATTGTAGGCTAAAAAATGAAAAATTTTTAAATTAAAAAAATAATATAATAGCAATCACTAACATGTCTATGGCACCCACTCTGTGCCAGGTGCAGTTCTAATCACTTCACGTTTATTAACTTGTAGAATCCCCGTGACAGTCCCCAGGAGGAAACCTGGGACAGGGAGGCTTTAAGTGACTTGCCCTCAGGGAGTGGAAGAACCAGGATTTGTATTAAAGCCTTCCGGCTCTCAAGACATAACGCTGCCTCTCTGATAGTGTAAAGCAAGCTCCTTGTCCTTCTATGTTAATTTCTACAAAGCTAGCACCCTATGTCCCAGTGATGTAATGCCGCAAGAAACGCTCTGTTGTTTGGTGGATCTAACCCAGTTAATCTACCCAGGGTTAGAATTAGGGCTTAGACTGCCAATTTTCTTTTTCTTTTTCTTTTGAGACAGAGTTTCACTCTTGTTGCACAGGCTGGAGTGCAACAGCGAGATCTCGGCTCACGGCAACCTCCGCCTCCCAGGTTCAAGCGATTCTCCTGCCTCAGCCTTCTGAGTAGTTGGGATAATAGGCAGGCGCCACCAGTCCTGGCTAATTTATTTATTTATTTATTTATTTTTGTATTTTTGGTAGAGACAAGGTTTTTCCATGTTGGTCACGCTGGTCTCAAACTCCCGACCTCAGGTGATCTGCCCACCTCGGCCTCCCAAAGTGCTGAGATTACAGGCGTGAGCCACCGTGCCTGGCCATAGATTGCCGAGTTTATGAGTACAGCGGTGTTACATTATACCACATTTATCTCACATTACTTAAGTCATGTGGACTCAATCAACTCAACAAAAACAGAGGCAAAATGGGAAAATCTCTCTTTTTTTTTTGAGACAGAGTCGTGCTGTCACCCAGGCTGGAGTGTAGTGGCATAAGACATGAACGCAGCTCACTGCAGCCTCAGCCTCCTGGGCTCAAGTGCTCCTCCCATCTCAGCCTCCCAAGTAGCTGGGGCCACAGGTTCATGGTACCACACCCAGCTAATTATTTATTTTTTGTAGAGATGAGGTCTCATCCTGTTGCCCAGGCTGGTCTCCAATGCCTGGGCTCAAGCAGTCCTCCCACCTCAGCCTTCCAAAATGGTGGGATTATAGGCATGATCCACCGTACCTAGTAGGAAAATCATTTCAAAAAGGCACGTAATGCAACTAAATGCATACACTTAATTTTGCACGTTGTATATTATTGCATAATGCACATCAGGCATGTATTCATTCATTATTTTTTTATTTTTATTTTTTGAGACAGAGTCTCACTCTATCGTCAGGCTGGAGTGCAGTGGCACAATCCCAGCTCACTGCAACTTCCATTTTCTGGTTTCAAGCAATTCTCCTGCCTCCCAAGTAGCTGGGACTATAGGCATGCACCACCACGCCAGGCTAATTTTCTGTATTTTTAGTAGAGACGGGGCTTCACCGTGTTGGCCAGGATGGTCTCGTTCTCTTGACCTCGTGATCCGGCTGCCTCAGCCTCCCAGAGTGCTAGGATTACAGGCGTGAGCCACCGTGCCCGGCCACATCAGACATGTATTCATACAGAGGCTGCTCAACTAATCAAAACACAATTGAAGCAGGGAATTTCATATACGTTTCATATTGTTTTATTGTTTTTATTATTGATTTTCTTGAGACAGAATCTTGCTCTGTGGCCCATGCTGGAGTACAGTGGTGCAAACTCTGCTCACTACAACCTTTGGTCTCTCAGGTTCAAGTGATTCTCAAGCCTCTGCCTCCCGAGTAGCTGGGATTACAGGAGCCTGCAGCATACCTGGTTAATTTTTGTATTTTTAGTAGTAATGGAATTTCACCATGTCGGCCAGGCTGGTCTCAAACTCCTGACCTCAAGTGATCCACCCACCTCGGCCTCTCAAAGTGCTGGGATTACAGGCATGAGCCGTTGCACCTGGACTGTATTTTTAATAGAGACTGGCTTTCGCCATGTTGGCCAGGCTAGTCTTGACCTTCTGGCCTCAAGCAATCCACCCACATTGGCCTCCCAAAGTGCTGGGATTACAGGCATGAGCCACCCACCTCGCTCAGCCTCTAACCCACTCTTTTATTTATTTATCTATTTATTTTTTGCAACTTGCTATTTCCAAAACATTCAATATAATTTTCAGAGAACCAGCTATTCTCCTTTTCCACTCTTATTTTATCTACTTACATCATATGTGATTAAATTATGTAATTACTATATAAACTGCAACTGGCATAAACAAGTTCAGAAACAATGATAATTGACTCTTTGTAAACATATAACTCAGTTCAGTAGGAGCAGACATATGCTGGCCTGCTAGAAAGCAGTGTTCAGGATACTGTGTATATCTCTATGTTTTGCAAAAGGAAGATAGGATATCCATTAATATGGCTAGTTGACTAAATGGAGGTCGAATAAGACTGCCTCTGTGGCAGTGTACAAACCATGTACACTATACCTTCTGACCAATTTTCAAATTGATAAAGGGATTTTCAAGGGTAATTCTGACTACAGATAATTCCCATCTTAGACATCATTTGGAATCGCACATTACACATACTCCCATACCCACTGCTCTGAGGATGTTTGGTTAAAAGATAATAACATGGCCGGGTGCAGGGGCTCACACTTGTACTCCTAGCACTTTGGGAGGCCAAGGTGGGTGGATTGCCTGAGGCCAGGAGTTGGAGACCTGGGCAACATGGTGAAACTTTACCTCTACTAAAATACAAAAAATTATACCTGGACGTGGTGGTGGGCACCTGTAATTCCAGCTTCTCAGGAGGCTGAGGCACAAGAATTTACTTGAACACAGGAGATGCAGGTTGCAGTGAGCAGAGACTGAGCCATTGCACTCCAGCCTGGGTGACAAGAGCGAAACTCCATCTCCATAAATAAATAAATAAATAAATAAATAAAATAACATGGAAGACATTCTAGACCTGGAGTCAGAAGAGTAGGCTCTGATTCTAGAATAGTCCCTTGCAAATGGAGAAGCTTAAAGCACCTTTTCTCAAGGGAAGTAAGTGACCCCTGATCTACCGCCAATCAGGTTATTATAAAGATCAAATAAAATAATGAAGCTTGGAAGAAAATGCTTTGAACACCGAAATGTGGCCGGCACAGAGGCATTTCTCTTCTAGACCTGTGGGAAGCCGCATGGTGTCCGCTAATTCCTTTTTTCTTTTCTTTGGTGTTTTTTTGTTTTTTGGGTTTTCTTGAGACAAGGTCTCTCTGTTGCCCAGGCAGGAGGGCAGTGGTACAATCTCTGTTCACTGTACCCTCAACAACCTGGGCTCAAGTGATCCTCCCACCTCAGCCCCCTGTGTAGCTGGGACCACAGGCACATGCCAACCACACCCAGCTGTTTTAACTGTTTTTTTGGCTTTTTGTTTGTTTTTACCTTTTTCTCTTTTTTTTTCCCCATGAAGTATCTCCACAGATTTTTTTTTTTTTTTTGTACCTATAGTAGAGATGGGGTTTTGCCATGTTGGCCAGACTGGTCTTGAACTCCTGATCTCAGGTGATCCACCTGCCTTGGCCTCCCAAAGTGCTGGAATTACAGGCATGAGCCAACATACCCAACCATCAATTTTCTTTCAGCGTAACTCCTGCTCAGCCTTGGCCCAGCCAGGATGGGATATTATGACCCTAAATTCAGAGCAAGGCGTCTCCCCCAAGAGCCTCCTCAAACCCTATGTTCTTCCACTTGCAGCTCTGTGTTGTCCCAGGCCAGTTTTCCCTACCAAGGGCTCTGGGACACAGTCACCAATTAATCGTCTGGAGGAAAAACTGCCCTGGCTTTTCTGAAAGAGTGTGTCTTTCTAATAGGGCTGCCTAAGAGTGCAGAAAATACCCTCCTCCCACAGGATCCCTCCACCCCATCTCCTCTCCCACTCCCCAAGACTGACCAGTCATTTCTGGCATTTGGTAGAAATTTAGGAGAAATTGCACTAGTGAGAGGCTGCCTTCAGGAATCTTACTGGTCAGCATAGTTGATGTGACAGAAAACAAGCCTTGAAGGTCAGAAACCTGGACTCCGGTTCACATTACCAGATGGAAGACAAACCCGGTTTTGCACGGGATATCCTTATCCAAAAACATCGTTTGCTGTTTATCTGAAACTCACATATAACCAGGTATTCTCTCTTTTTTTTTCTTTTTGAGTTGGAGTTTCGGTCTTTCGCCCAGGCTGGGGTGCAGTGGTATGATTGTGGCTCCCTGCAACCTCCACCTTCTGGTTTCAAGCGATTCTCCTGCCTCGCCTCCTGAGTAGCTGGGATTATAGGGGCCCACCACCATGCCTGGCTAATTTTTGTATTTTTAGTAGAGATGGGGTTTCACAATATTGGCCAGGCTGGTCTCAAACTCCTGACTTTGTGA